AGGTTAATGGTATCCAGAGCTAAGAAGAAATGGGAGTGGAGAATGATGGCTAATAGGTATTGGGTTTCTTTTGGGGATGATGAAATGTAGAATTAATGGTCACGATTGAACAATCCTGTAAATATATTTAAAAGCCACTGAAGTGGTGAATCTTATGGTATATGAATTATATATCTGGTCCTTTTTAACTGCAAAACTAATGTAATTATCTGTCTTTTTATAATGGCCTATGGGGACAAAGAACAGCAAGGGAATTGTGTAGAATTACAGATGTCTGAAGCCGGCACAGGTCATCTATGCATAGGGGCCCACACCATATACACATCACACACCTAACAGTACACTTCATCTACACAATCATCTCTGGGGCCTATGTTAGGGCTTTGCCTTATAATTTCAGCACATACCTGTGCAATTATCCACAGTTTATTGTATAGGTACCTTACAGAGAGATTCCCTACAGATCCATAAGAAATATATGCTGGTACACACAAACTACTACAGTTGTTTCATGAACATAATTTTAGAGTTCCACAGCTAAAAATATATGGTAGAATGCCACTGTTCTCTCAGTTCTGTAGTATAAAACGTCAGCCTATCTTTTTCAAAGAATCTCTCATTTAAGGACACATTCCTCTGATCATCTCTTTCTCAGACAGTCATAACCTAAAACTTTCACTCTGGTGCAAGGTGCCCGCTGCCGTAACAAGCTGGCGGAGTCAGCTGTTTGTCATGAGCTTCACCAGTGAGAGAGCAGGCAGGAGAGCTTTATACTCAGGCTTCTTTCAAGCCCCAATTATGAGCTCAGGTGCTCATATTTCAAAGCCACTCATAGTTTTATTCTTGCTGTAAAAGAAACCAGAAATTCCCCGACATGTGCAGAGAGCTTTAACACTAGTCTAGTCACTCCTATTTCTCAGCAACGCTCTTCTTAGAATCTAACCATTGTTTTTAAGCTGCAATGCACCAGGCTTCCATCTAATTCTTAACTTCCTGACTGGGGACTGAGCAGCTCAGCCCCACATGGCTGAGGTTTGATGGAGAGGAGCAGGTCACCGAGAACTCAATTTCTTGGGTTTAATCAACGTAGCCCCCAGTCAACTATAAATATGCACTGAGAGCCTAGAAGGTGCTGGGAGCTATAGCCTCCGATATGGAGGATGCTCCACTAGACCAGCCCTCCTGGTCCCTTGCTCCCACCCCAGGCCTCCTTCCCCACCCTTAGCACTAATGTTTCTCTTAAGACAGTGGAGAATCTGATCCAGTGGGGGAGTCTGGGAGGCATGTCTTCTCCGGCCCCTCCTCTCTTCCTTCTTTTCTCCTCTGGAATTACCTGCGGAGAGCCCGTCTATGCCTCCAGAGAGGCCATGACTAGCCGGGGCTGCCTGTCCCTCCAGAAGTCTGGTTCCTGTGTTCCAGCTTAGGCTGCCTGTCTCTGTGTCCATCACCTGCGACTTAAGCCAGAATAGGAATAGCATTTTGGGGCTCCTGTAGGCCTCAAGAGATGAAGATGGCAAATATGTCCTTGCCCTCACGGAGATTGTATTCTAGTAGGGAGAGGCAGACTGCAAACAAGAAAACAAGATAGTTATTTTCTCAACCCTACAGAGCACACGCCACCAGTGGCCTTCACAGATGCAGTTCTCTGTCCAGAGCTTGCTCTCTCGACTCCCAAGAGCTCACATTCTCAGTAGGTTTTGAAAGACTTTCCATAATAATCAAAAAAAGATTTTTCAAGTGAAGTGAATGGTGTTTTAGCATATTTAATTCACCAAAATATAATCTAAAGTCACTAATAATGTTCGATCTATTTCTATAAGCTTCTCAGTTACACGTGTTACTATGTCACTGACAATGGCGTGAAGAGTCTGTGGATGTGAACGGGAGTTGCATTACATTCACTGCAGCCTGCCCTGCATCCTGCAAACCTGGTGCGGTCACAGAACCCACCCCTGAGGGAGGAGAGCCCCTAGGCTGCCTCCAACAGCTGGGTGAATAATGAGCCACTTCCCCTTCCCAAGGTATTCTATCAGTAACACACTTCATGGCACTCTCTCTGGGAGTAAACTGTCTTCTCTGCCTTACATCACAGGAGAGAAAAGCCCCTTCACAGGAAATGCGGTGCAAAGGGAAAGCCATTGGCCCAAGGTACAGCCCCAGCTGGGTCAGGCATTCCCCATGTGGCCTTGGACAAGTTTCCTCACCTGTTGTGCTATATGCTGAGCATCTATATGCTGTATGCTGAGCTATATGCTGAGTGTATCTTTCACATTGGGGGTGAGAATTTCTGCAATGTCATTCTTCCTAATTAATACTGAAGAAATAATTCTCAGTATAAAATACTCCGGAAAGCATGGTAATTTGTGCTGGGCAAACATTTAAGTCAGGAAAGTCAGGGTCCATGCTCTTAAGGAGTTTACAGTCTGGCAAGATAGGCAAATATTTTATTCAAAAATTGTAGAATTACAGCTGTGATAAATATACTAAATGCTTGGATTTGGTGCTAGGAAAGTGTGCAATGCAGACTCAGGAAGGATTTACCAAAGAAATAACATTTATGCTGAGGCTGAAAGCAGAGCAGCAGTTAAGGGTGCGGGTGGAGGCTTACTCCAGGCAGGGGGAAAGCATGTGTGAAGTGGTGCTGGAAGAATATTCTTTTTAGGAGCATTTCCAACCTGAGCAAAAATTAAATCACAAATGAGACAAACCTTTTAGGATCACATATTTAAAGAAAAAAGAGCACATTCTGTCACAAGCAGAAACAGACTCACAAAATACAAACTTAAAAGTCATAGGAGTAATTTTATGCTGGAACTGACAAACCCACATCTGACCATAGCAATCTGGCCAGAATTCCCCAGATCCTCATGCCCTTCCCTCTGCCTGGAGTAAAGACCCCCCACAAACCCCATCTTTAACTGGTACTATGCTTTCTGGTCTCAGCATAAGAGTTATTTCCTTGTTAAATCTTTCCTGAGCCCTCACACACTCTCATAGCACCAAGCACTTCTCCTTGGTAATACTTATCACGGCTATATCATGTCATATAAAATCATATGTATAATATATATATAATATGCAGCTACATTACATAATTATATTATTACATAATTATTGAATGAGTTATTTGCCTACCTTGCTAGGATTGGTGTCAAAGGGATGGCATCAATTCCCTCAGGTCACCTGCAGCACCTCCAGCCCTGAGTGCCCATTATGGCTGTCGGAACTGAGTCCGCATAGAAAGGAAGTTGGAAAATGAAAGACTCCACAGCTCTCCATTTCTCACCACCCAACTCTGCCCCCCACCCTCTCCTCCACAGCATCCAAGGTCTGTGTCCTGCCTAGAACAAATTAGCTCTCGGGAACACTCCCCGGGGTCAGGGACTTCATACCTGTACTTCACACTATCAGAAGCCAACAATCCGGGTGTCCTGGAGCTTGTAGAGGACTGGGCACAGACTGTTCCCAGAGTGTAGGGACATTTTAAGGGAAGGTGAAAACTGAATAAAGAGTGCCCCAGAACCCCAAAAGTAAGGATATTCTGGGCAAGACTTCAGCTTGTGTAAAGGAATATTCACTATAGTTAAGATTTAAGCAGTGGGCCACCCTGGTGGCGCAGTGGTTGAGTGCTGGGCTGCAAAGCTGCGCGCAGTCTCTGCAGCACAGGTTCAAGTCCCGGCCACCACATGGCGCGCAGACCTCTCCTGCCGCGCCTGCTGCTCCCCTCAGCAGTGTGTTTCATCACTCTGCCTGCTCTGCTCCCCGCTCTGGCTCTGGTGAATTCTCTCACCCTCCTACGCTTCTGACTGTACCCAGTGCTTGTATAAATAAATAAATAAATAAATCTTTAAAAAAAAAAATCTAAGCAGCATATAAGGTGGCCAGGCTGCAGAGGAAGGCCAGGCCCATAGATGGACAGTCCTACCCAGAAAATGGGACTTGATTCTTAGGCAACAAAGAGCCACTGCAGACCCCTTGACCCTGAAGAATTCTGGCAGCAGCTCCCCTTAATCACTCACAGGGTGCAAACATACTACTCTTGCCTTGCTGCCCCTCCTCCTGCCAATATCTGTCTTCCTTCTTTAAGAACGAACACTCTCTACTCCTATCCAGAAATAAGACCTTAGATTCCCTCTATGCAACTACGAGGTCAAAATGAGGCAAACAATTTGACTGAGACCATTAGCACTAAGCCAGGAACCCAATCTCTGACAAGCAGAGCCAGGAAGTGAAGAGAAGTGATGGGGAGAGGTGGGAGCTTCCTGGGAAGCAGGCTGTCTGCCTGCAACAAGAGGTGGAAGGCGGCTCTACCTCCTCAGGTCATAACCAGACCTCTCCAGCTTTCTCTTCCCTCCTTGGAGAAAACCACAGCTTCTTTAAAAGAGAAGAGGGCAAGGAAGGAGGGTACACAGAGAGTGGGCGAGATGGTTCAGACCGTACGGACTTGGGTTTGGCAGTTCTGTCTGAAACCCCTGAAGACCTATGAGAAATAAAGCTTCAACAATTCGAGTAGCACCTGCAGCATAATACCCTTTCCAGCAGACTGTGCACAAGACTACTACAGATGCCTTTAAATGACCTGTTCCACCTCAAAAGTCAGAACAGAAAAAGAGGTGTCCACTCAAAAGACACCGTGAATCCTACCGCGCTGCAAAGAGGGGGCGTGCCGATTCTTGAGGCGCAGCACTCCAAGGGCCGAGACCCGGGCTAGGTAATGCGTTAACACCGCAGCTCCGCACCTGCACCTGCCCAGTGCCTCTGGCTCCCAGACACGCACCTGAACGAAGCCTCCACGTGCCGTGAACGCACATTTTGGGCAGGGAGGAGGGAAGTGTGAGGGGTCAGGCTTCCACAGTCCTTGGCAGTGTGCAGCACTACGCGGACAACCACCTCCCGGCCCTGGACCTTGAACCCGCCCCTGGGTCCGCCCCTGACCCTGACCCTTACCCGAGAAGAGGTGGACCACCCGCCAGAAGTCTCCAGCAGCGGCGCCCGCTCACCTTGCACTTGAAGCCGGCGGCAGGCGGCAGCAGTTCGCGCAGCAAAGCCTTGGCCACCTCGCGGCTGGCCTCCTCGCTCACGAAGTGCAGGTTCAGCACCTCGTGCGCCTCGAACTTGGCGAGCCGCAGAAGGGAGCGCAGCGCGACGCGGGCCTTGGCCTGCAGCGCCGCGTTGTGCTCCGCCTTGGTGAACATCATCAGCAGGTGGTAGTCCACCGGCCCGGCCCCGCCACCCTCCAGGCTCTTGGCCTTAGCGCCGGGGGCCGGCGCCACGGAGCCCCGCGCCAGGTCCAGCGCGGGCGGCGAGGGTGCGGCGGGGGCCCCGGCGCGGGCCTCCTTCAGCCTCTTGGTGGCGCTGGAGAAGGTCTCCCGGCCGGAGCCGAGGTAGTAGAAGGCGCAGACGGCCAGCGCCGCGGCCAGCAGCAGCGCGCAGTAGTGGGAGCGCACGGCGCCCAGGCGCGCCATGGCCCGGGCGCACGGGGGCCCGCCGCGGACGAGACCCATGCGCCGCGCCCCGGCGCGCCGAGCCGCCGGACACCCAGCCGACCCCGCAGCGCCGCAGCCACTACCCGCCCCGGCGGCGGGCGGCGGCCATGGCGGAGGCGGAGCCGCCCCTCCGGGCGCCAATCCGCGGGCGCTGACGCGCGGGGAGGCGGAGCCGGGGCCGCCGGGCCGCCGCCGGTCCTAGCTCTGGCGGGGTCGGGGCCAGGGCGGCCCGCGCGCCGGCGGCCCCCGGGGGTTCCTGCGCAGGGGAGCGCTGGTGCTAAGCAGACGCCCGCGGGCTGCCGGTCGGTGGAAACTGGCCCATTTTCAGTGCCCAGCCCTCAACGCTAGAAGTCGGAGATGAGCTTTGAAAGGCATTGACCCCCCTCCCCCCACCGCAGGACCTAAGGCTGGCAAAAGTATGTTGAACGCACAAAGGGGGGAACATTTTTATCTCTACCCCATTTCTCCTAACTGCTTGAAGACGTTAAGCCCTGTCCCCCACCGCCTTCACACGTTGGAGACTAGCTGGGGGTTGGGGGGGTAAGGAATTTACACTAGCAAGCTCTATGAGAGACAGAGTAGGAGTGACACCTTCGGTGAAAACAGCCTCCCCACCCCACTTGACGTCTCTGAGGTGCGTTGGAGGAAATGGGAAGAATGTCCTGCAAGAGAACCCCGCAGCCCAAAACTTCAAGAACTGACAGACAGCCCTCAGGGTCCTAGTTCACGTTCAGAGGGATTAGACTCAGTGTGCTAATTTTTTATTTTGTATTTTATTTTCTTATATTTTTATTATATTGTATAATTCATATATATATATTTATATATATATATATATATATGCACTTTTTAGGAAGCCTTACTTTGTACCAGGTATTTTGGCAAATTCCTACCTGAGACACATTGACATAACCTGGTCCAAAGTCACATATTCGCAGTTTTGGTACTGCCAACTATATTAAAAACTCAATTAACTACAATCTTTTAAGGTCTGATGATATACTATAGTGCGTAAGTCACACAAGTGGTGTGCAGATGAAAATGGAATGCATGGACAAAGACATACGATTTGATCTTTCACCACCAGTTTATTGTGCCCTACCATTATTTCTCAAAGTATGGGTGGAGTACACCTTTCCCAAAACCACAGTTCATCTCAATTTTTAACTCTTGTTCAATTTTAGCTACACTTTCTGAATGCAGGCCTGGTTAGAAAAACATTATCACTGAGAGTTAGCAGGGTGGAGGGAGAGACTCAATAGCAGAAGTTACTTGAGTAACAGACTCTTTATTTACTCCCCACAACTCCAAGAGATCCAGGTGTCATTCCCACTATAATTGAGAAAATTGAGATTTAGAGAATTGCCCAAAATCTAGTTAGCTAATAAGTTAGGGAGCAAGGATCCTAACCCAAGTCTTAACTCTTCCAAATAGTAAATTTTTAGCCAAGACTAGCACTGAAAGCAGTAATTCCAGCTTTGAGTTGTACTTTACCACACCCTTCCACAGTTAACTGTGATTAAGGAAACAAGCTCTGGAGTGGACTGTCTGGGCTGGAAATCAAGCAATCTAACGACATGCAAGTTGTTAAGACCTCAGATGAGCTACTTTATCTGAGTTTCAATTATTCATTCAGAAAATGGGGCTAATACTATTACCTGTGCCTCATAGGACTTGAAAGATAATATATAAAGAGCAGAACAGTGCCCTAACACTTGGTCAAAATAAACTATGCAATTCCTTTTTTTCTTTAATTTTATTTTTACATTCCCCATACAATTGCAACCCCCTTATTTTGACCCCATTCCCTCCTGCCCCTCCCCCCCCCCATAGTGTGTCTCTGGTTCATAGTTGTTTGCAATTCCTTTTAAGAATGCTATCCAGGGGGCCTCCCCTGGTGGCACAGCGGTTGAGCGCTGGGCTGAGGCTGCCCGAAGCCTCTGCAGCACTGGTTCATTCCCCCGGCCGCCGGCGAGGGTCCCCCCCCCAAAAAAAAAATGCTATCCAGGGCCTCCCTGGTGGCACAGGGGGTTAAGCATCGCACTGTGAAGCAATCTGCAGCCTCCACAGCACAAGTTCGGTCCCCAGCCGGCCAGGGAGCAACCCATATGGCACAGCAGACCTCTCCCATCTCGCCCAGATGCTCCCCTCAGAGCGGTTGCTCTGCCTGTTCTGTTCCCTGCTCTGTCTCTGGTGAGTCCTCTCACCCACTGTGTCTCTGGCCTGTACCCCAGCTCTTTTATGCATAATCTTTAAAAAAAAAAAGAATGCTATCCAATAAGTATCAAAATAAATTAACCTGCAACTTCCTATATTTTTGATAGTGAAAAGTGACAAATAATAATGCTGTCATTAAAAATGTATTCAAAAACTACAAATGAAATTTAAAAAAAAATACTAAGTGGAGGAAGAACCTATACTCAAGAGACATACTAGCCAAATACAATGTATGGAACTTACAGAATTCTGACTTGAATAAATTTTTAAAAATATACTTGAGACAACCAGGAAGTTTTTAATATAGTTTTATAGTTTAAGGAAGTGTGATATTACAGAATTTTTTAGAGTCCTTAGAGATACATGTTGAATAATTTCATCAAGTATCTGGGATTTGGCTAGAAAAAATTGGGAAGATGAAAAATGGAGTATAGGAAAACAATGTTAGCCATGCGCTATTAGCTATAAGGTATTCTACTTCTGTAGATGTGTGAAACTTTACTTTTTAATTTCCCCCTAAAACTTACGTAGAATACTAAAGGATTTGGAATTTTCTTCCCTATCAAGGGAAAACAGGTAACAAAGACTATGAGCCCACATGTATAAATACACATGCCGAGGCCTTCTAGAAGAGTACATAGCAAAAAGTATGTTTTCCCTTCAATATCGCACAATAAAATTTTTTTAAGGTTTTTTTTATTATTTATACAAGTGCTGGGGTACAGGCCACATGTGCAGGAGGGTGAGAAGATTCACTAGAGACAGAGTGGGGAACAGAACAGGCAGACTGACGAAGCACACTGCTGAGGGGAGCAGTGGGCGAAGACAGGAGAGGTCTGCCACACCATGTGGGATTGTCGCCGGCCGACCAGCCGGCTGGGATGGAACCTGTGCTGCAGAGGCTGCCAACAGCTTCACAGTGCGGCGCTCAACCACCTGAGCCACCAGGGAGTCCCGCACAATAAAATTTTTTATGATGGATGTATTCTAAAATCTACCTTGCTCAAAATAGTAGTCACTAGCCACATGGCTGGTAAGCTCTTAAAATGTGGCAAAGCAATGGAGCACCTGAACTCTCAATTTTGTCTAATTTTAATTAATTTACATTTCAGTAGTCACATTTGGTATATAAACACCATACTGGACAGCATAGGCAGATGATGGCATTCTGGATGATCATCTTCTTTTAAAATTATCATTATTTAAACATTTTTCTACAGTGAAAAACTATTCTTTTGCAGAAAGGAAAAAGGCTGTTTTGTTTCTTTTCATTTAAAACATGCACTATCTGTGTAGGTTCTCTTTACAGAATAATTCTGAAAATGATATTAAGAGGAATAAGGCAAATTACATAGGAAAGTTTTATGTGACTGCTTTCAATTACTTTGTAATGGAAAGGCAAGAACAGTCAATTCACGTCCAGATCTGTTCTTTCAATTCTCTACTTCTTTAATTTCAATTTACACATAAGCATGTTTTTGCTTACTAGAAGGACTCAGTGGGAATGAGTTTCTAGATTAAACAAGATGTCCATCATAATGGGAAAAATACAGAGCTGGAGAAAAAAAAAAAAGGACTTTTTTTTTAAAAGGTAATGAATTGGGAGCCATACAGCTCTGTGATAAGACAGAAGAAAATATTAAAAAGATCTAAATGGATGTCTTGATTGCAGCAATCAGCATACAGGATCAGTCTGGAAATAGAGGACTTTAAGCATGACAGTTAACAGGTATGTCTATTAACATACCTGTTAGTTCACATAGCTGTAGTTCATAATAAAGTAGAAGTCTGAACATAAAAGAACTATACCAGAGGTAAGATTTTTATTGACTTCTTATAATTTTTCAGCATACAAAGATTTAATCAAGTATAATATTTACAATTCTTACATAATGTACATTTTAGGATAACTGTAAAGATAATGTACTTTGTTCCATTTACAATGACAAACTACAGTAAAACTACATGAATTAGATACAAATCCTCTACATACTACTAAAAAGTAAATGGAGTGTTGGTTATACATTCTTTCAAATATACCATTTCACAGGTAGCAAGAAATATTACATGTAATAAGTCTTTATGACTGGAATGATCCAGAAGTATCACAAAGCACAAGTAAACATATATAGAAAAGTAGCTCATCATTTCAAACATTAACCTTCAGCCTTTATGTAAAATAAATTGTGCTGACAATCTTTATAATGCAGCGAGCTTTCCCTGTTTAAAATTAACATCCAAGGAAAAATAAGAAAATCTAGAACATAAGATAGTGAAAAGATCAATGCAGAAAAGTTTAATCAAACATTGCTTCTCTCTTCTCATTACCTCATTAAAGTCTATATATTTATGTAAACAAAAAAGAATGGATGTCGGGATTCAGCCACATTGTGTTTCATTTGGAAACATCAAGAAGTTGATGAACATATGGTGAATTAAAATTATCTTTATAATGTTTTGTTTTCATTAATGTTATTACAAAAATATAATTTTCTATAATGTAATATCTTCAAATCCTAAATTTATTCCTTCAAGGTAATTTCATATGCAGATTCTCCGAAATATTTGGAGTCTCTGTTATCAAAACACAAGGAAAGCTGGCAGTCATTATTAGATTTTGCTGCTATTCTATGATTTCAAATCATTTCATGATATAACCAAAGTGCCTCTGAATAGCAGTCAGTCAGACAGGTGTTCTGTGTTAACTCTGCCCCCAACCAGCAAACAAAGGGACTCCCTCATAAAACAAGGGAGTAACCTAAGATCATTGAAAAGACAATGCTGTAACTCTTAGATTAAGATCTCATGAGTCCTACTAGGAGAATCAACTGACATAAAGTATTTCAGAGTACACCGTGAGCAGCAGAATAGTATACAAAGTGATGTTACCATTTCGCCTTGTTCCAGTCCACTCTTTATTTGTGAGTAACTTTGAATCTAAAAAGGGTAGTAACTACTTATCAGTGCTCCTTCCACTCTATCACACAGGTCTGAAGATATTCTGCAGTTACAGTTCTATAAAAATATATCGTTTTTCCAGCTCATATCTATGATCAAAAGTGCTATCAAACAGAAAAGTTAGTTTGACAATATTAAGAGTGATATGGGAATGTATTATTATTCAATATGGGTAATAAATTTAGTCTTAAATACAATTTGGTTTACACCTTACATGTCTAAGATTATGTTTTTAAAATACTGCTTAATATAATATATCACAAACTTTTATGGTCCAGACTGTGAAGATACAATTTTTTTTCCCAAAATGTACTCATGAAGAACCAAAGCACATATGCCGAATTAAATCTGTATGTTTTGGAAAGTAAACACAAGTTTACAGTAAAGATCAATATAGGCAAGCCAATGTAATATAGTGAATCACTGCAAATTTCACCATTTCTAAGGTTTGTACCAAAGTTAATTTTTCAGACCTCAGAAATATTAAACATATTGTTACAATGAAATATGGTAAATACTCAATTACCCTTAGTCTAGGTCTAACATGAACTACCCAATTACCCTTAGTCTAGTTCTAACATGAAATTCCATTTTTATGAGCTCTTCATAGTACTGCTATTCTTTTATTGGTATTAGTCTAAATTTTAAGTTATGAGCTAATGATAATGAGCTAACAGAATAATGATAAGAAATCAGAAACAATGATCAGTTAGGGATAGAAAAAAATTGGCAATCACATTGATTTATGAAGCCTAAGAATATGATAGACAATGTTTACACTGTAATTTCTCATAATGCATTGAATAATTCACAGCACAATGAAACTCAGATTTGTTACATACTAAATAAAAGCTACTAGTTGCCACAGCTAAATTCACCTTGATAAGAACTAAACTACTTTGTAACTACTACCTACAAGCTTACTTTTAAAGCCTTGCTGCTTATTCTTTCTGCCAAATTTAATTCAAGTTGGGTTTTAGCTTATTCAAGAAATTCTGCCACAGAAATGTATTTTTGTATTGTCAGTCTTCCTGTACTGTTAAAGATTTGCCTTTTTCTGAAGATATTCAGAACCATGATCCTCTTTAGTGCACTTCCAATACATCTCTAAATATTACATTTCTGTAGATACTAATTACTTCCACATTAACAACTCATGATTAAAGCTATAGGAGGTATGAGTGTCAAATGGAATTGCCTTTACAGTCAGAGATCCCAGAGGTGATCTGAAGCACCAATGGCTGGATCCAAAAGAACTGCCTAGGTTTCCTAGGATAAAGGTTAGGAGCATTAGGCATAAAGTCCTAGGATTAAAACGGGAATAGGCACTATAAAGGTAAAGTGAGGTTCTCTCTTCTTTTTCTATTTGTTGGCTTGTTTTTAATATATTTCCTTATCCTTGAATTTTTTAGATCATTCATTTCAAAGTGTATGCTAATAAAAATGTCACAGATCAGACTTTTTAAAGCCACATGACTCTAAGGTGACACAGGAAAGATTTAATGTTCCAGTTATTGTTGTAAAGTATAAGGCTTTCAAAGTTAGCATTTCCTTAGAAATAATTCACATATTTTATCCTTATCTAATAAGCAGTGATTATTACTAAATAAGCATTATATTGATGCAATTTGGCCAAATATGGAACATTTTCTGTAATGTAAATATATCTCAGTATAATTGATGTTTAGCCAGATTCTGATTTGATGCTCATTTACAAAAATCTACTTATAAGAGAAAAATGTAATTTCTCAATGTATTAGCCAACAAAACTTTTAAATCTCTCTTATTTAGAAACTGAGAAGTAATAATGTTATGCATATAACTTTAAAAGATTAAATTTCACTGTTGATAATATTAGAATGAAGCCATAAAGCAAATACTTCAGTATTTTATACACCTCACAAGATGTCAAAGATGGAATCAGATTAACTGTAGTATATATGATTAAAAAAGTATAATATTTTGCAATTCAAGGGCCTATGATTCATATAACCAAATAGTAAAACTATATAGATGCTATGTTTAATTTGAAAATATATACACTGTGTACAAGAAGTACACAGGATATTGGAAAAATTAAAAAGCAATTTATTGCTGTATATCTTAGTATAAATGAAGAAAAATGTGGTCTTTCTTTCACTAGGAGCAACAGTAAAAATGTATCTTGAAATAAATTTCAAATATAAAAATGCTCTCCATTATTTTATAAATCAACTTTTCCTTTGAAAGTTACATTTTGATGAAAGCATAATTTTGCAACATTCAAGTAACCTTTAAAACAGTTTTATTTACATCAATAAATTTGTCAAGATTTTAGAAAATCAGCCCAACAACAAAGAACTACAACTTCTATAAGTGAGATTATTTTGATTTTCTTTAAAATTAAAGGGCTTCTTTTCACTTCATATATTTGGAACAAATCTAAAGGGCTGAATTATGTCTACCTATACAACCATTGTATGAATGTAAAAGTACTGGACAATAACCAGGCAGCTAAGGAGCATAACTGCATCAATGAGCAAATGGGGGAAACATATTCTCTAGTTCTAACAATTAAATTTCATGTCTACTAATAGCTAAGCTACAAAAAATAAAAACACAAAATCTTCCTGCACCACCAAAAATGATCAGGGAAGTTAAAGAAAAGACATCCTCTCAAGGCCAGTGGGATAGTCAGGAGGCTCCCACTTGATGCAGACATGCTTGACCGAATAACAGAAAAAAATTCAATGCTACCATCCACTGGCAAAAGAAGAAATATTGTCTAAACTCTTAGCATCTTATGATCTACGGAGGGCCTAAATCTAGCTAACACAGCCCTTTAAAAAAAAGGTTATTTTTAGTAAAAAAGATTCTAAAATAAGCTCCTTTCCCAACTACTAGAGATCTGTATTTTTACTTATAAAAATATCGAAAATGGGTACCTTTTTTCTAAATCACTCAGTGTCTACTAAAATTAAAAAAGTAGAATTAAAGCAGAAAGAATTTGAGTTTTCAGATGTACATGCTAAGGGATCATCAAATTTAGTATTTTCCCCTTCTTCTAAGAAACATTCAGAATTTCTGTGAATCTTGCTGGAAACGGTTTAGTTTCTCTGGATTATTGGATGCCATTTGGGAAAAATCACGAAAAATGTCCTGGTAAGTTTCATCACCTGTATGAAAGTAAAATAAAGACACTTTTTAAAATTATAAACAATTAAAGTATTAATAAAGAACAATCATTTTATCGCTAATAACAATTTTGTAATTGTCATATTAAAAATTTGTTCAGATGAGCATTGTTGAAGAAAAAAAGACCACCTAAATATTAGTACTGGAAAAGTATATAGTGAAAGAAAAAAACTATACCTGAAAAAAGCACCTCAGATGCAGCCACAGAGGAAAGTTCAGAGTTAGAAAAGAGCAAAAAGCAAGTATTTTAAAGCAATGTAAAGAAATACATTTATTAACACATGAGAAATGAAAGTTACTTTAAATGAGGTATAGTAAACAAGGCATTCTGTAAGTAAGTGTTCCTTTCATCAAAGCCAAAAGAAAAGCTCAAAAACAAATACTAATGTTTCTGATGGATGCAAGTTATTATCAAAACAAAAATGATAATCAAGTGGGGGAAAATCCTTCTATTTAATATTATCTTTTAATTAAAAGATACTTTAATTTAAATAGTATGTGAAAAGCAATTCTACACTCAAATTTTAATGCTTAACTGAAACTAATGCATCTAATCCATAGCCTACTAAATTTATAAGATGATAAAGCCTAAAAACAACTATAAAATATAAGTTTCACATTTAGTCCTAAATTGTTTTTTTTTTAAACTAGGTCATATGAACAAGAATGGGATTAAAAATCAAAGACATCTGTAAAATCAGAGTAATATATATGTATAAATACATACAAATATATTTAAATATGTATATTACATACAAATATATTTAAATATATTTATATAATATATATGTATATATACATACAAATATAGAGAATTAGAGATATTGATACAGCAGTTTAATTACCAGTTTTCTTGCTATGGAAACTTAAATATATACACACACATACAGATTAACGCCTCAGAAAGGATCTGTATAAAGTAAAATCTTATTTTCAAGGTGAATCATTCATCACGAACGCTTCCTATTAAACATTAGCTTTATACAGAATCTTGGCATGATCCTGTTCTCAAGATTTAGACTGTCAAATACTGTTTTAGATATTTATTGTTGCAACATGATTTTATCATTATTTCTCATAAGATACCTTGCATCCATCTTATTACAAACTCAATGCTATAATTGGTGTTAACAGTGCAGTAAGTTTTGTCAGCTTTTATAAAGCAAATATTTTGAGGAAACAGATCTCATACTAAAAGCTAAAGCATTAGAAAAAAGTTGGGAGAAGGGGATAATGATAATAAAAGGTCTAACAGCACAATCCAAGATTTTCAATAAAAATTATTTAATACTTTTAATATCTAGTCACTGTTAATGTCTAGTCTATGTAAAAAGCAAGTTATTCAAATCTATACATAGTTTTCATTTAGCCCTGGAAATTTCCTCATGACCTGAATCAATCTACTTTAAAAAGCAAAAAAATACAGTAAGAAGAGAATCTTAATAGGGTGACTAAGAGTAACTACTAACCCATTATTGTTATTAAAACAATCAAAATAAAGGTTAATATGCTAGGACAACTGGTAAAACAATCCAATTATATCCAAGCTTCCTTAAAAGTTCGCTCCCATATTAAAAGACAAATTACAATCTATTCCCAATTTCAGCCATTCTAAAAGATAGAAACTAAGAAGAGACCAACATTAAATAACAACAAACCATACAAAATATTTAAAAAAAAAAATTTTGTCCTTAGATGCTGAATTAAAATATTTAAAATATTTATTGTAAACATTATAAATATTTTTAAAATACTATTTAAACTGGAGAGTCTGTTATTTTACTTCCCAAGAAAGTATAAAGTGCAGATTATAATACAAAAATACCACACTGATTTTTATCACTCAACACCAGAAGTAACTAAAAAGGCACACATTATACATTCAAGAAATAGGAAGAAGGATCTAGCAGACGCTAATGCCAAATAGTTTACAGATAGCACCAGATGAGCATTCTTAAGTATTACAAAAGTACAATGGCAATATATGGCTTCTACTATTAGCAATGCATATTATATATAACAAGCGGTGATTTTTTTTCTTTTTGTGATATTCCAGTTTTTGTTTTTAAATCACCTAGTACCTATTACACAAGTACATTTTAGTAGAACCATTGTACCATGCAAAACACATTGTAAGATCTTTTATTCACTGAATTTAAATAGTTCCTTGAAGGAAAGTGTTGGTGCTACACTAATCATTTGTTTTCACTGACTGAATAAGTTTTTTTAAAGTTAATACAATGCAAAAGGAAGTCTCACCTTCACACACACACACACACACATCTTGTTAACATTCAGTTTCTAACAAAACATTAATGGACTACCAATATAATACCTTTCTAGGATCTCCAAATATGTTGTTAGGGCAAACATTACAATAACAATAGTGACTACAATATTTAATATAGTTAACACAAATTGAACTTCAATGTGATTCTTTAAATTTTATGTATAATTTCAATCATTAAAAATTTTCCCAAGGCAAATATAACTTGTCTACACTAGAATACAATAAAGAACAACCCAATATGTTGCCCCAGCAAGTTCTTAGGAGCACACTTAACAGTTTATTATATATGGTAAACAACCAGTCAGCCAACATTTATAACACTGCATATAACCTTTAAATTACTTAATCACATTCTTTTTCTCTTTAGAGAATTAACTTTTCTATGTGCCTGGACAATTCTGAGTTTTTGAAATGTGGACTGCTACATATTCCACTGACAGTTTAAAACAGTTTTTGATTTTTAGTGGTCAGGATATCCACTGCAACAGCATTATGATGATCCAAGATTTTGCTCTTGAAATGTACTCCCCCTCAAAGAGATGGCAGCGAGTGAGAACCCACCCCAGATGATCATGTGTACAATCCTGACACTTCAGGGATGGTTACAGCTTCCTTCCTAATTAGACCAGTGGTCAACTTTTGCCAGCAACATACTCATATAACCAGCAGTGGTTCATTAAAGCTGTGAAGTCATAGAGCCAGAGACTGTGGAAAACACCAAACTGGTTTCCAACAACTGGAGAGCAGGCTATGTTTCACTCACCCACCCAGTCCTCTTAAAGTTGTAGGAATTGATAAAGATGGATAAATCTTTTTCTTTAAGAAATGTGTGCTCTTACATAGCCTTGCATAAAATAGGGAGTCACAGGTCCTTACAGTTGTAGATAGAAAGTTCACAAGTGGAGTTTCCTATAAATGGGTCCATGATTGCCAAAGATTGTATCTCAGTCTTTTAAATGATAGGAGTCTTCATTATCAAAATATTGGAAATAACTGCATTTTAAAGTTATCCAAAATTCTGAGGGTTTTCCTTCTACTACTAAGCAAAAAAGGGAGCTAATAAAACAACCAACAAAATCCATGAGAGAAAAATTTACAGTGAAAAGCAGAGGCAAAAAAATAAAGACCTGCTGCCTGAACAAACATTATCTGCTCTCCAAAGGCTCATAAAAGAAAAAGTCAGAAAGCAATTTCTGCACCATTTCACCATTATTATAAGTGTAAAATCATTCTGCTTTAATTGAAAGCCTCTAAATAAGCTAAAAATCTAATTAATATCAAGATGATCCTCAAATAGATCAAAATCCTTTTATTCTGATAATATACAATTTCCAGAATTCTGTTCTATTTTTTAGCCTCTAATCTAAATTTGAGAATAGTTGGACCTCTTAAAATTAGGCTTTTGTTTCCCAATTTTTTATTCAAATAAATTGGAAAAAATCTGTTTTTCTATTGATGAATACAAGGTATATATAATATACTCATAAGCATATTCATAAAATGACAGTGAAAGTAGCATTTCAATGCTCCTAAATGGTGGATGCAGAACCCTAAGCAATCTGAGTAGAGTCAGAGTCTGCAAGAACATACAAGCCCTATTTCAAGCTTTCCAATTGCAGAGAGAAGTCAATTACTTATCTTGTGGCTAATCAGTTGGGTACAACTTCATCAGCAAACACCTTCAGGAAAAAGAACTGACCAAACATTGAGGTTTAAAATTTCAGGGGAAAAAATTATTTAACATAAAATCTTGATGTTCCCTCTTATCTCACAAATATCAGATCATTACCTTTAAATAATATTTATTTTAAAGTGCTTAAACACAAAGGCCTCATAAATGGCCAGTAATACTATTACTTAAGTATATCTGTTACAAAATTATAACTTGTTTAATATCTAACATTCAAGTTTAAAACAAATAGGTGAAATTCAGAATTAACGCTGAGACTTCACCCTTAATCAGCACTCTTACATCTTCATAAATCATGAGTCAGAAGTATTGTATGATCCATAGGATTAAAGTGGGACACCCTAGATTACAAGTATCTAGCTGAAGTGCCTCTATTCTCAAAGTTCTTACTTATTCCCTATTAAATTAGACCAAAAATAAGTAGTAAGTACAATCCTCTGAGAAAGAATGGCCCCTTATTTATATTAATGATATATTAATATAAATTAAAATAAAAGTAAATGACTGAAAGCAAGCATAAAGCACAGAAATTCAAAATATATTAAAGAGGAATATATTACCAAGCCACTTTAAAAATATTAATATTCATTGAAAAAAAACATACTCATTGCAAACTGAACATTCTCAAGTATTTTAGTTATAAATTCCTGAAAAGTTTTACTAATGTTTATGAATTCAACAGTTAAATTAGTAATTCATATACTCTATTCATGAAATGGGAGATCCAATAATTACAATCGCTTCTTTGTGAAGACTGTCTAATTAGAACACATTCAACAAAGAAAGAAATCTAATCCAACATTTGTTCCTTCTCTTGACATCTTGACTCAAAGGTGAAAATTACTCAAAATGAGACTTGAGTTGATCCTGAGTTCAAATTTTTCTAGTAATTATACTTTGCCATCAGGTTCACAAAATATATTTCTAATACTTCTATTTATCCAACAGGTATTGTACAATTGCTTCGGGCAAATCTACAAGATAAAATGAGACACTTTTCCTCTACCTTTTAAATTAATTCCATTCCCATTATGGGCTTTTTCCCCTACTATTAATTTTATTTTTAAACCTTCAACTCATTTTTAAATCAGAATGCAAAACTCTAATTCAATCAACTTCTCCTAGGGATTTTCCATACTTTTTATATGCCAAATACATGGTGATTTTTTTCCCTGAACACAATTTGTAGAAATTCCCTGAATAACAAAAAGAAATAATATTGTTATATTCACTTGATAGTTAAAGAGAATTACAAAAAGAAAAAGACTATTGTGCTGCTGTAAATGTATAAAGACACATCATCATTCCATTCACTTCACTGGAATGTATATGGAAGACATCTGTACAGTAGATAAAGAAATCAGCAGCCAGAGTTAAATAGAGCAAGTAAATGTGTACTGTAATAGGAATAGTTATGGAATTTTAAAGACCCGGAAGTTAGCAACCCCCGAGGATTCAGTAAGTACAGTACATACTATCAATTCACAATTTACAAGTAAGTTATAAAAATTCTATACTATTAAGTTAGTTTGCTAAGGAACTATGAATCTTCCAATTGTAAACTGATAAATTCCTGAATGCATTTCTTATACTGCATTTCAGTATGGTTATTAGTGGAATATTGACCTGGCTGTCCATAAAGTCCTTCTGATTCCCGCATCTCTTCATTCATTCTTGCTAAACGTAACCTAAAATTAAATAAGATGATTTTTTTAGATGAAGTTATACAATATAAATATTCACAAACTAATGAATTATATAAACAGGTAAAACATGAACTGATGTAATTTTTTTCCTTTACCATATTTGCCACTAAAATAAATGAATTTTTAGTCAAATTAATCAATCTGAGACACAAAAACAACTATTTTATTTTATGCAATGTGTGTGTGAGAAGACAGCAAAAGATTTCTAACAAGTGCATTTCAGCTCTGTTTAAGGAGGATTCTTTCAACACCTCCAGCAACTTGCTTCCTCCAGAGTCCCACAAGTTCCTAGTTTCTACTGCAACTTGTCAAACTTTAACTGCCCACTGCTGAAATTATTGATTCTACATTATGGAAGCAATTGCCAAAGTACATTCTAATTCACCCTGAAGTGAAGTAGTTCCAAACATATTTAAGTAGTGTGTGTTATCTCTAAATACTGGGAGTATATTTTTATATACTTTATCCTATATAAGCATTATAAAAATGAGTGTAGGTTCTTATACATCATATACCAAGGGATGTGTGTGTGTGTGTGTATATACACACACACACACACACGCAATATTAGTTATACATTCTGTTTTGGGTTATTCAACCTGGCAGTAGGAAGAGATGTAGATTGAACTAAGAAGACAAGAATTTCCTCCCATTTAATTACTCACTAAATAATCTTTTTAGATCAGCAAATGTTGCCATTGGTACCCCTCTCCTACTGCGTACTGCTCACCTATAGTGCAGATCACCCACTGCGCTCCCAGATCTCTAGTCCCTTCTAATATGTTCTCTCTGGGGGGGCCTCCCGGGTGGCCTAGGGGTTAAGTCTCAGCACTATTAACACTAAAGCCTAAGTTCGAGTCACAGCCAGGGAGCTAACCCACATATGGGACCGCAGAACACTTCTTGTCTCGCCTGCTGCTCCCCTTAGCTGTACATTTCAGTAGATCCACCTGATCTGCTCCCCACTCTGTCTATGGTGAATCCTCTCACCCCCGCACCTCTGGCCTACATCCCAGTTCTTCTATGCAAAAAAAAATTTAAAAAAATAATTAATAAGCTCTCTTTGGCAACTACAGCATCTACATGGCTTTTTTGTATTCCCAAAGTACTACAATTCTCTTCATCTCCTTTTTTAACCCCTGTGCTTATGAATAACAGCATCACAAGTTCCAGCTTTGGTGTCTGGACTTTTCAGAGAAAAGAACTATTTTCAAAAAAAAAAATTTTTTTTAAGATTTATTTATTTATTTATACAAGCACTGGGTTACAGTCAGAAGCACAGGAGGGTGAGAGAATTCACCAGAGCCAGAGCGGGGAACAGAACAGGCAGACTGACAAAATACACTGCTGAGGGGAACAGCAGGCGCAGCAGCGGAGGTCTTTGCGCCATGTGGGACCCTCACCAGTGGCCAGGGATCGAACCAGGGCTGCAGAGGCTGCAGGCAGCTTCGCAGCCCAGCGCTCAACCGCTGCGCCACCAGGGGAGGCCCTATTTTCAAAAATTACTAAGTGAAAATGAAATCCTCACATAAAGTAAAATGAGAAAATGTAGAAAATTTTGGAACAGATATTTTTAAGGAAGATGAATCATTACTATAAGAATTTCCTGGGATTTTCATTCAGGGTTAGTTTCTCTTTATTATTTCTATTGATCCTTTAATAATTTATCTTTCTCCATTATAAATCTTTAATGATTTAATATCTAAATTTCCCTATAATGGCATGCACAATAACAATAATTCTTCCAGGGCAGGAAAGACAATGGGCACTGAGGACATATGTTTTGCTGATTTTTTTTTTTTAGTTTGGCAGGGTTCAGGGAGGGATGATAGACAGCTAGTCAAGAATTCTCAGTGTGAGTTTAGGAGTTCAAGGAAATGAGGGAGTTTCTCTTTATAAGTGACTGAGATTCTGCAGTGAGTATAGAACTATGTGTACTCATATAGTAGGATCAACAATTCTGGGCTTCATTCTGCACAAAATAGAATGAATAAGTGACTTTATACAACACATGCTAAAGGTTCCCTACATGATAATGAACTATAGATGACGATCACATTTCCAGATTTTAAGTCTAACAAACAACTCTGACCTAAGATGAAAATCAAATTAAGACCTCAAAATTCCTTAACAGATCATATTAAATTGTATGCAAATATTTTTAAATTCTTATCTTAAAATTAAGAATATTGCTCCATTCACAGCAACATGAATGGAACTAGAAGGGGTTATGCTCAGTGAAATAAGTCACAAGGAAAAAGAAAAATATCGGATGATTTTACTTAGAGGAAGAATTTTACAGGGACTACACCTGACAAGAGAAAGCAAACACTGAACAAAAATGGAACAATAAGAATATTCTTTGAATAATTCTTTTAAAAAATAAGCACAAACAGACCCTCCTCCCCAAGTATCACTGCCCAAAAGCAGTACAACTGCAAAAGCCTCTAAATCAATGCAGCTGCCTTTATAATCTTGTAATTCCCGAGGTCTAATAATTGCCTGGTACACAAGTTCAGCCCTCACCCCAGTTCTGTAGTGAGAATTAAAGAATCCATTTTAGTGCAGTCTCTGGCTTTCTATTCCTACTGGTAATGCAGTATAACAATAGTGGCTAAGAACATGGGTATTTCTGTCAGATTTCTTGGTTTCAGATCCACCACTTACTAGTTTCTCAAATTATCTGTGACATAGTTTCCTTATTTATAAAATGAAACTAGTAATATTAACTTTCCCATATGTTGTGAGAACTAATGAGTTCATATGTACAAACTGCTTAATATAGTTAATGTGCTTAGAGAGGGACATGCCATAGAGTATATAATCAAGTTTAAAGTTCACACTGATACATGAAACTCCATGCTGACACCCTGCAGAACTAATATTATATCGGAAATAATCAAGTAAAAAGAAAACACTTACAATGTCACTATATCAGCATTGGCTGCTTCCACAGCTATGCTCAAAGGGTCTTTCCCTTCTTCATCAGTAGCATGTTGATTGGCACCTCGTTTTAAGAATAAACATACCTGCCTATTTAAGGAAACAGTATTGTTCAAATATTATCAGTAAAATAATTAGTATCTACTTTAAAAATTAGAAAGCAATACTTAATTTAAAGAAAACATTTTCATTAGGAAATTCTTGATTCATTCTACAAATATTTATTGAACACTGATAATAATTTACCAAGATTAGCATTTTACAATATCAAGGTATTTTCATATTTAAACTGGCATTATGCCATAGTGGGATGTGTAAATTATGGTCCTTACCATAAAAAAATATGTGCACAGTTATCTATAAATTTAAATAAAAGTCACACAAGTCATTTTGGGATAAGAAGGAAGCCCAGGCAAGCTTATCATTATAGTGCATTAATGATAATACCACAGCAAAAACATAAGAATGTTCCTACTGTACTACACAAATAGCCATTTGTAACTTGAAGAAATTGACAAAAATGAAAAAATACAAAAGAAAAAATATGAAAGGGTAAGTGGAACCTATGAAATAATATGGGAAGAATTATGATTATTTAAGAAGAAAATACAAAGGATGAGTTGATTATCATTCTTAAGTGTAGAAAAGTTGTTATGATGAAGTTATATTGAACAGAATCTCTGCTAATGAAGGAAAAGAAAATAAGCTATAATAAAAATAGAAGATGCAAAAAATGAATATTTTAAAAGAAAAGCTCCTTGCTAGCAAGACAGTAAGAGCTGGGTATTCTGATAACAAATTCTAATTACCAAAGAGGAAGGGGTGGGAGTGGGCTGAAGGGGTCAAATGTAGCATGGTAAATGGTAACTAGCCCTTTGGAAGTAGGCATGGTGTAGTATATACATTTATGAATGTGTGAAGCTGTACTACTAAAATTTACAGTGTTGTGAACCAAATAAGAGAACTGACTATGTGAGATGTTTTATTAAAACACAATCAACTTTGACACAAAGTTTTCATACAAGACTAACACTTTGCTTGCTTCATTTGTGTGCATTAATAGGAAATTCATTTTCAAGGCTTTATTGTTCTGGAAGCCTAAAAATTACTCCAGAAGCTACAATGTCAATACCACAGGTTAAGAATTTACTTTAGAATTTTACTTTAGCTACCCTGTGGGAACTGAAAATTTCCAGTTATAAAATTCTCCCAAAATGTGTGTGCTATGTACATATGTATAAATACATGCACAAATACACACATAGACTTAAGTTGTCTGGCAAAGCCACAATGTCAGTAACAGTTTTAAATACTAAAAAATATCTATATAAATTATAAGTTCACAGTTTAGCAATTTTCATATCTGAAAAGTAACAGTAAGATTTTTCTGAAAGATTTTTCTCATTTAATTTCATTAAAATATGTCATAGGAAAGTAGAACTTTACAAACTCTACCTAAGGGCCTGAACCTAAGAAAAAGCATAACAGAACTCCAAAGTAATTTTTCAAATAAAATCTACTAAAATATGTGAACACTAATAGATTACCCAGTATGCCCCAAGACAGTGGCATGGTGCAGTGGCCCCCGCCCTTGTACATCTCTTTGGTTCACATTAGCACCATTCTGCAGGAGAAACTCGCATGTCACCAAAGAGCCCTTAGAAGAAAAAAGGAAAACAACAATGTACACAAAAAGCAAAGTATATATGTCAAATTGTTACTCTAATTGTCTAATTCATTCCCCACAAAAAAGAAAAATATCCCCAGCAAAAGCACAGAAATCATGTATTATTTCTTCCCAGGAATTAATTCTAATAAGGTTTCCATTTGCAATTTGTGACCTAGCAAAACATACTTATTTCATTAGCAGAATTTTCTTCCAGTAAGAAAAAAAGTAAGGGCTTCCTGGTGGCACAAGGGGTTAAGCACTGCACTATGAAGCAATCCGCAGCCTCTGCAGCACAAGTTCAATCCCCAGCAGGCCAGGGAGCAACCCACATGGCGTAGCAGACCTCTTCTGACTTGCCTACTGCTCCCCTCAGACCTCTCCTGACTCGCCCACTGCTCCCACTTCTCCCTTCGGTCAATCTGCCTGTTCTGTTCCCCACTGCCTCTGGTGAATCTGCTCACCCCCCATATCTCTGGCCTGTACCCCAGCTCTTGTATGCATAAATAAATCAATCTTTAAAAAAAGAAAAGAAAAAGAAAAAAAACTGAGTTTACATGTAATCAAAGTGATGCTCAGAAACCACTACTTACTTCTTGTATTTTTCCAACCCATCTCTTAAAGCTAGAAATAATTCTAAAGCTATGTTTAGAACAAATTATAATTTTTAAATCATACTACTAATAACAAACTCAATGTATGAACTCTTACCCCTAATACAGCCTGAATAAGTGGCGTTCCTTTGTTTTCCTCTGAATTAGCCCAGTTCACATCTGCACCATGAGCCAAAGCCTCAGCCATTTTAGGAAGATTTTTTTCATATGAAGCCCTATAAAGCTGAAGTCCTGGATTAAGATGTTTAGAGTCGAGAAACACAGAAGAATCTTGCCTTTCTCCCTCTGAAAAGCAAAGACAAATACAGCAATAAAAATGAGCTCTTGGTGGGAAGAGAGAAAACAGAAAGTGTTTGTTACATGGGTTGAAAGTCTCAGTTTTATAAAATGAAATGTTCTGTGGATGGATAGTGGTGATGGCAGCACAACAATGCGAAAAGACTTAATGTCACTGACCAAAACACTTAAAAACTGGTTAAGATGATACAGTTTATGTTATGTGTATCTTACCACAATTTTTTAAAAAATGAAACTCTTATTTATATCACAGTGTGAATGTTCTCACTTAAAAAAACCCACTAATTTAACATAATGAGGTAATGGAGGTTTTCACAGTTATCTTACTTCCCACAGTAATCACTTCCCAGTCAACCATCTTCTCTTATGAAGACACCAATTGGTATTTCAGTACCAATGTGGTCTTGCCAGTACCCAATAGGCATTTTAATTACTCTGTACTATATTAAAATAGGTATATTCCTATAAGCCTGGGCTTAAAGTCTAACAATTCCTAAAGAATGCTACCATTAGATCAAACCCTTCTTTATTCCTAGGATGGCCCAATACCATCACAATTTCCAGGAAAAGCAGATCAAAAAATTTGAAGAATGCTTACTATCCTGAGTATTTTGTAAGACCAAAATCACTGAAATAATAAAACGAAAATTTAGAAATAAAGCACAAGTCAGAAGTAAAACCTAATGGGAATGGGGTTGCTGATCTCTTTCTCCTAGTAAGAAAAAACAGCATAAGAAAAAATGAAGGGCGGGGGGGATTGGGGTCAAAATAAAGGGGTTGCAATTGTTTGGGGAATATAAAAATAAAATTTAAAAAAAAAAAGAAAAAATGAAGAGTAAGATATACAGTTATTGTATATTAAAAATTATCCTTGGGCCTCCCCGGTGGCACAGTGGTTGAGCGCTGGGTTGCGAAGCTGCCCGCAGCCTTTGTGGCACCGGTTCGATCCCCGGCTGCTCCCCGGCCACCAGAGGAGGGTCCCACATGGCGCGCAGACCTCTCCTGCCGCCCGCTGCTCCCCTCAGCAGTGTACTTCGGTCCTTCTGCCTACTCTGCTCCCCGCTCTGGCTCTGGTGAATTCTTTCACCCTCCCACGCTTCTGACTATGCCCAGTGCTTGTATAAATAAATAAATAAATAAATCTTTTAAAAAAAATTTATCCTTGGCAACTGATAAAGCACCTTCTGCACATATCACAGGGCTTAGAAGACTGTAGCTAGAAAACTGCCAAATTAAAAAAAAAAAAATAGGTGTTTTCTCATTTGTATTCCTCCTCCCTGTAGAAACTACTTAATCAATCTAGACATTTTATCATATTATTTTTCAGCAAATAATACCAATTAACACTGAATTTCACCAAAACTCACCAGGCTCATATAAACTATTGGCTGACACTGTGGAGGGTAAAGATTCTCTTCCATCATCAGAGCTCTGCTGGATTCCACTGTCATTACTTTTGACTGTTTTTTAAAATAAAAAATCAGCTAGTGATTAAATTTCATGTCATTTAGAAAACAACCTCCCACAAACAAAGTTTTAAAATGAGCTCTGATACATCAACGTGAACTTAGCCACCACCAGCAGAATACGTTTAACACCATCTTAATCCATCTGAACACTTAGTTTATCAAAATGAGAATCACCAAATCTGAAAATAAACTTATTTTCAGAACTATAACACATTTCATTACTCCATACTATGGCAGGGGTGGTAAAGAGCTTAACTTATCATGTGACTGTAAGTAATGTGTAATTCTGAGACAATGGGTAACATCTAGAGAAATGGCCACACGCACAATGACCACTGGCACAGACGTGGAATGCTCCCCAAGAGTAGTACTTACTACTACGCAGTTTTGAAGAAGTATCAAAGTAGGAGAAGAGTGAATCTAGCTCATCAGGACAGAACAGAGACTCCCGCCTGGCCTCGTCGCTATTTACAGCAACCACTGGGGACATGCAAGTTAGCAAAGCACAAAGCAGGCCGTAAGAAGGAAAAAGGGCAGGAAAAAACATTACTGGGAAAAATTTAGGAGGAAAAAAATAGGAAGGATATTAGGTGGTTAATCAGATATTTAGGGCTTTTTAGCATGACAGATTTATAATTCCCAACTCCCCTTGCATTTTAAGTATTTTTATTCCTTAGAATATACACATTACCTAGACATGTGAATTACCAAGACACTAAACTTAATTGTTGTAAAGCCACAGAAATCCAATTTTCCTTAAAATATGTAGAGGAAACAGTTTATAGCATTTAAAAAAATCTACAATCTACAATTATAAAGTGACTTCAACTTAAGAAAATGTTTGTATACACAAGTTGTAATACCTGAACTTAGAGAAGATGCTCTGACTTGGTCAGTTGGCCCAAGTTTAGAAACACTCAGCCTCTTTTCTTCACAACTTTTGGAGACAATCTTTTTTTCCTGCTCAGGAGGTGATGATGATATAGAATATTTATCCACAAATTTTCTCTCCACATATTTTGCTCTGATATATGCCTCTTTCTCCTGTCTGGTATACATAAAAATGCCATAATTTTCTACTTAATCTCTTAGTATGACTAATACTGAAAAGAAGCCATGTAATGAATATTTACAACTAAAGTCACAAAATGTAATAGAAGTTAAAACTGAATTTAGGACATTATGCAAAATGCTTTTCTTCAAAATATTTAATGAACATCTTCAAATACAAATAATTAACTGAAAAATCTCAACTATTAACAAGCCACATTTTTTCTCTTAATTTCTATGCCCATTCACTTTCTATATATGTTCCCCTGAAACCAAGAAAACTACAAAAATGTATAGAAATTAATATTTAAATATTAACATAAATCCAATAAATGTCACATACTGGAATATCAATACTTGAGGCCATAATTTTTCAAAAGACAACCACTTAAAAACAACATAGCATCCTACGTTGAGGGAAGATGAGATGTCATATTTTAAACTTCTGATTTATGATACAATCATAAAATGCCCAATCTGTTATCTATATCTTTCCTTATTTATAACCTTGAAAATGCTCAGGTCTTTGACTAAAATGGCTATTTTTCAAATCAACTACGTTTTAGCAAATGAACAAAATCTGATTTAAATGATACTCATTTAGAGAGCAATAACTTTAATATTGACTCTCTCTCTCTCTCTCTGTGTGTGTGTATGTGTGTATTATATATATATATGTACACACACACACACATATATACACATATATAGATGTAGTCAAACATAAAATCCCAACATGAGATTATGGCAAATACAACTGTAATGCTAAAATGAAAAATATCTAAACTGAAAATATCAATAACAAAAACAAATTATGTACCTTGAAGACAGTCTTAGTCACTTCATTCAATGAACCTCCATAAACACTGAAGTATAATTTCAAACACAGCAATTGAACACTTTCCCATTATCAGAAGCTACCTTTTTCACAATTAATTCAACATCATAATGCCATGTATGAAGTATATAATTAACAAATATTTGTTGAGCTAAGTCAAACAATGTAAAAATTATTCATTACAGATAGTAGAAACTTGACCTTGGAGACATTAATAAACAGATTATCTCTTTTAAAGACCTACCACTGATAAAACTTTGGTCTGATTTAATTGCTAAGAGCTGTCACATTCCTATGTAAAAAGCCTTAAGTTTTAAGATTCTGTCATCTGAAAACTACCTGATTATCTGCTCAGTAAATATAATTATCTAATTAACATACCCAAGTAAAAGAAAGTTACATTTTAACAGAAGCAGTAATTATATCTTCTAAACAGTCTGTTTCAATATTACATCTCAGTCATGGTGGAAAAAGAAATCATAGTTTATCTATATTCCTGATTTGCAGAGGAAAGGGGAACCTATTAAGACAACTGAAATAATAAATACCTTTGTCCTGGTTGTGGTTTCTTGATCCCCATTTTTTCCACTTTAGCTTCATAAACTCTATTTATAACATCATTCCCCAACTCACACATAAGCTATATAATAAGAAAATAAAAAAATAGCCTATTAATGCCTTAGAAAATACTTTCATAAAAGTTCATAAGCAAACACAGCTAATGAATTTCTGTGCATATCCTGCAATTGCTTACTCCACAAAGAAGTATAAGGGTTAAGCAAAGTAAAAACAAGCAGTGTGAGCAGTATCGCTATTTTGCCATTCCTCACCAGAAAACCTCTCATAGAAGATTACCACTCCTATAAGAAAGGGTTTCTCCTCATCCATCTTCCACTAGTTTTCTGTCCCTGTACTACAACTGGTAGAAAGCTGCACACTATTCATAATGTCTGGTACATTGACTGCATAAAGTCTAAGGTCAGACAAAGTTTCAGACAAAAATCAAAGCAAACTACTTTCTCCTTATCCTTGGTATGTAAGTAGTTCAAAATACTGTAAAAGTTTTGGTCATTTTTTTTAATGTATCAGACAAATGTGTTTCAACCAAGTTTTCTAAATTGAATCAACAGAGTTCTATAATGCTAATGTAGAAATGACATTTCTACCCCTCATCCTCCACTTTCTTCTTTCATTCATAACCATTAAAAGAGTCTTATCTAAATGGGGCTACACCTTAGGGTTAAATTTATCACTTTCACTTAGATGTTTACACAATAATTGCACAATTTTTTTTATTTTACTTAAATAGATTACCATTTTACCTATGGACTAAAACTGAAATACAAACACATTTAAAACACAATTTTCAGCTACACCTTAGGGTTAAATTTATCACTTTCACTTAGATGTTTACACAATAATTGCACAATTTTTTTTATTTTACTTAAATAGATTACCATTTTACCTATGGACTAAAACTGAAATACAAACACATTTAAAACACAATTTTCAGACAGAAATAAATACTGATTATACTACAACCTTTAATATAATTTTTACAATGTGGAAAAATAAACAATGAGTAATTAAAAGAATACTATTCACTGTTATGAATTTTGTAAATCTGATCAGAAACCCAACTGTGATATATATTATCAATCCTTACATGAGAAAAAGGAATCATAGCCTGATGACTACTATTCTAACAAATACACGTCTGCAAGTGATCCCATGTTAAAATATCCCAATGATAACAACATGTTATTCCAATCCATTATGGAGCTTATTACAATAAAATCTCTCTTATATTAATAACAAAAATCTATGTAATTATTAAAGAGTAGCATTAAGATACAGAATCTAAGATTTTTTTGAGAAAACATAGGAATGCAGTTTTCTTAAAATGTGACTAGTGCTACACAGACAGCAATTTTCAAAACACTAGATTTGCCAGTATACTTTCAAATATGTCCCAATACAATTTAGTTCATTGCTGGCCCTGAGCAGCACATACATTCGTAAGCCAAGAACATAAAATCTTGACATTTTTGTGAAAATGATACATTTTTAAGCAAATGTTTATCTTACCTTTAAAAGTTCAGGCTCCCAGGTGTCTAAAGTTAAAGATCGCACTTTTGAAAAGTGAACTCCAAGACTCCTAAAGGAAGTCAGGAAAGAGCATTAATAATAACCTAGCAAGTCTCAATTTGCATATTTATGCTTTTTTTTTTATTTTTCTTTTTATGTGATGAGGTTTCTAATATAGTCCTCAATGCACATATAAACAGAGATAGATCTCTGGTTAGTAATGAATGGTGATACAACATACTTGATAACATTTTACAAATTAGAATTTTATCCATTTTATAAAAGCAAAAAGATATTAACTGGAAATTGGGCAAGTGGAAAAGGTCCTCTACCCAAAGGGCCATGATAATTTACACTGTGTGCTTATCACCCTGCACAGGCCTACCCACCGGTGAATCCCAGAGCACTCGATACACAGGGTGATGCCCAGGTTGATGCTGGCCCACCGTGGGTCTGCCAGACCGCAGTCACAACAGCTGGCATTGCCAGGTATACACTGGACTCGCTGCAGGGCACTTTCCCCTTTCAATAATTTATCTTTTGACTCATTTCCAGAATCCAGGCTTCCTGTGGATGGTGATGATTTCTTATCTAGCTTCTAAAAGAATAAAGAATTATTTGTTAAATATATATATATATGTACATATGTGTATATATATATGTATGTATATGTATGTGTGTGTATGTGTGTGTGGAAAAATAACACAATATATATATATATATATATATGTGTTGTGTGTACACACACACACACAAAATACTCTTACACACTACATGCTCCAAACAAAAACTTCCAAAAAATAAATTGAAGGCCTTTTATGGAACTAAGTTTTAGGCATTAGAGTTCAAGTATGAAAAGATGTAAGTTCCTCCATCAATTTGCATTTAGTCTTAAGGGAAGAAATGCATAAACATTGAGTATTTTGTTTTTTATTTATATATAAATTACATATATATAATAGACAAAATAAATAGACATAATCCTTTAGAACTAATTATTTCCAACCTAAAAATGCCATACCCAACTAAATTATCATACAAATGTGATGATAAAGACATTTTTTTAAGTGGACTCACAAATATCTTTTTCAGGAAGTTCCTAGAGTGGTAAAGCCCTATTTCTCAAGACTCACTCATGACCTTGCTCCAAAGAGTTTCTTAACTCATTGGGAAGCTGAAGTCAGACAATGAGCCAAGACTCAATATTAAGCCTGTCTTCCCCAGGAAGATCTCAACTAAGGCAAATTGTGTTTTCCCTTTTTTTTAAAGCTTTTTATCCAGTTTTACTTTTAATGCCCTTTCAGTCATTATTTTATACTTTATTAGAATTAAAAAACTGGGGGTAGGGGAAATGCATTAGAATGCTTATTATGTCAATCTGGGACACATTCAAACACTGAATTAAAATATATATAGAAACATACAAAAAATTAAATCTAGATTTTAAAAAATAAAATGCATTTAACATTTAACACATCCTTCATGAAAAAAAACAGTTGTAAAAATATAATTCTGCAACTAATATTAAAACTCTTTGCAATATGCCATTTGATATCATTGTTAGCTAACCTCTGATTCATCACCCTTCTCTCTATAAGCAGTAGCAATACTGGTTTGAACAGCCTTAATCCATGCTTGGCGCAGCTTTTCAGAGTCTGCCTGAAGCATACAACTTCTAAAAGATAAAAAAGAAAACATTGTTTTTTCAAACACTATATTAGCAAAAAACAATAATATCTGATATGACTTCAGTTCATCAAGACAGTTTCCACATGGTCATATTAATAATCTCTGTAGTATTTTACGAATGATAACTGAATAGTTACATAAATATCTCATCATAACACTTGAATACAAACTATTGAATTTTACAACATTTTATTCCTCTTTAGTACAAATAATCACAAGGGAAACACAAATCTTTCTCTACTCTGAAAAGTCGAGATAAACTATACAAATATACATGCAACTCTCAGATTCTTCAGAACCACTCACTTTGTTGGAGAGACCACCTCAAAGCAGAATCGTCTTTCTATGTCTTCACAATGTTTCACTGTGCAGAGCCTTAAATCTTCCACTACCACAGTGGGGTTATCCTGCAATAACAAAACGAAACTCCCATATCTATCAATCTAGGTTTTAATACTACTATCAATAATAGCATACTTTCAAATATTACTTAAAAAAATGTCCTAACTTTAAAGATTTCAAATTATGTATTTTAGAGATATAGGCTACAAATATACATATATTAAATCCAATTTTGTCCTATTGGTAATTTTAGCTGGCTCATAAAATTACTGTGAAATGATTAAACAAAATAGATTATAAGGAGCTTAATTCAAAACTTGGTAATTAACTAGGAAGTGCTCAATAAATATTAACTTCCCTATTAACTTTCTTCCCTATTCATTACTTTCCTGATCCTATCTCACATGATAAAAGCTATTATTTTCTTCCCAAAAAGAAGGATCTAATGAAGTTTTAAATATCTATCAAAAAAAAAATCCCTATACATCTTTCTTAAAATACCTAAGAAAATAAGAAAGGTTTTCATTATTTTCTAGTACTTAATAAATATATAAACTCAAAGGCAAATTTATCACAGAAGAAATGATGAACTAATTATAGTCAGAATGAAAGATTTTGTATTGAACCAACCTGCTATTATAGAACCAAACAAGTCAAATTTCATATTGTATCATCTCAAGAGTACAGTAAAAATCTGAAATTTATAGTTGAATTTATCATTCACAAAGGCTAAGTAAAAATAAAGTCAGCAAATTAACAAATGGTTCTTTTTCTTCTATTTTTTTGACATTCTAAAGTTCCATGCAATCTCAGTATTCCTTTCAATGAATAAAAATCCCTCACCTTAAAATATGGTCAAAAAAAATATATGTATAAAAACAGTATGAACAACAAATTTAAAGGTTCTATTTAAATTTCTTCAAACTTATATTTAAGGTCATTTTTAACCTTTTGATGTTATCATCTTTCCATATTATAACTCTATATCATTTGGTCCTAAGGTAATATTTCTTAAAAAGGCATCCTGTTTTTCACCCTCAAAATAGTACTATGGTATGGTAGTGTTGTTCCTGTACACAGCTGGACAAAGATACATAAAGAAATAAAAAGTATTAATTCTGGCACACATGCGCACACACGCATGCGCGCGCACACACACACACACACACACACACACACACACACACACATATAAATCCATCTCAAAGCTAGGGATTAAGAGTTAAGGATTCAAAATGACTGCTTTTAAGGAATAAGGAATAAATGTTGATACTTTCCATTGGAGTTTTACACCGCAAAAACATAGAACTAATAAATACTAATTTTGCAAATATGAGTATTTATGAACTTCAATTTTTTACCAAGATGAACAGATGAACTAGAACTGGGGAATCACTGGAGTTTCACTGAATCACTTAACACCTACCTTAAACTTTTTCTGGTAAACCAACTGATTGTTCTGTATTGAAAACCAGCGTCTAAATAAATAAAAAATAGATTAAATTTTCACATATATAATTCCAGTTGTTAGAAATAGTTGGAAAAGCACTAAAAATCAGTCATGGCAATTACATTTTTTGAGAGTGCACTGTTTTGCTTTATATAAACTGATGTCAGTAACAATTCAAAGTAAAGAATAAGCAATTTTAACCACAGATTAGGAAATTTACTGTGTTTTGATTTATTTTGTCAGAAATGTACATCCTAACAAAAGCTGTTATCTTTTATGCTAGCACCAAATAATTTTGGTGCTAAACAGATTTATATTGTAAATAAATGGATTTATATTGTAAATAAGACTGACCATTGTATACAGTAAAACACTGAAGTAAATGGTGCTGGTTTTCAACCTTTCTGCAGATAATTCAGCAAGCATTTGATTAAGTAAACAAAAAACTAATCAACATTTAAGAACTAATATTCAACAGGAGATAATTGCCAATTAACTTGACCTTTCTGTCATATAAAGTATTCCCAACCAGAATAATCAAAGTTATTAATAAAAGTGATTCACCCAACTACCTATATTGTTCAGTTCATTATTATAAATTATTAGGCAAACAATTTACTTGGAGTCTTCTTTACAAGAAAAAGTTAAGCTACATATGGCATACTTATTTCTAATTTATTAAAACAGTAAAAGGACCTAAAGATTAAAAAAAAAAAAAAATCACAGCCAAAAGCCATTCATGAAAGGAAGCAAAAATTCTCATAAAGCATGAAAGGTAAAACAATATTTGAGTCATTATTTTAAAATTAGTTTCATGTGAGATGATTTCTTTTGTAAACATTAGTTATTAATCTATTAGCAGATAGAGATTCTACCTTTTCATTGATACTAATACAAAATACAAGAAATTTTATTTAGAATTTATTTAGAAGATTTAGAATTTCTATTTCTAAAAATTAATTCTCCAAAGCTGAGAAAATGATTACAAGATGCTTTTCTATTTTAAAACTAGACAGATTGTTAGATTCTCTTGCTACTTAAAAAGGTATTACCTTTACCATTAAAATAGAGATTTGTTAAATAAGCATCTAGATAAAACCAAGTGGGTTGAGTTTAAATGCAAATCATCAACAGGGAGGCTAGAAAAGGAAGAACATCTGGGTTTCTTTGCTTTGGGACACATAGTTGGTTAGAAATGTTAAAGGAAATACCTATAAACAAAATAGTACAGCCCTGCCAACACGGGATGACATGCAATGGAAATAATCTCTGACACTGATTAAAGTGACTTTTTAAGTAATTTGAAGCAGAGTGAACTAACTATATTAATGAAAATTGTTATGTTTTCTAGTATAGAAATCATTATATAATTTGCTATTAAAAAATACAAAGATTTTTATACTATGGAAAACACTCATATAACCATGTAAACTTTTCATGCTTCTGAGGTCTTCAAAACATAAATTTCTTTTGACCTACTGCATATTTAGATACAGGCCTCCGAAAATAGTAACAAAATATTACAAATTTTTACATTTTGTCAGACTATTACCTTTCATTATTAACTCAATAGATGACATATATCAATATTTCTGAAACCCAGTTTCTCTCCCAACTATCTGCTTCTAGGTAACTTTCTCATATCATTAATTTTTGCACTCTCAGGAAAAACAAAAACACTACAAATTAATTTTAATTTGAGCACATCTTCTAAGGCAAAAATTTGCATAATGTGTATGCTAGGGAGAAAAATAATTTCAATAACTAAGATCTTTTCTGTCTTATAACACTCTCTCTCCTTCTCTGCCCTAAAATAAATATATAAAAAAGGAGTTAACTATACTCATCTATACTGATCAAGACTTTAGTCAGGTAAGTAAAATAGAATATATTCTTAATTGTATCTGTAGAATAATCACAGCTATTATGGACATTTATAATAAAAGGAAAAATGAGACAATTTCTAGTCTACTGAATATTAAAAAATACTCAATATTTTAAGTTCAAGTTATCTGCAATTTTAAGATACTTAAAAGGTGTATTTAAATCAAAAGGACAAGTTTTGGAAAGCACAATGCTGACAGCTACACTACATTCTATAAGAGTCAGAAACTAACTACAAAACCACAATCTAAAAGTTTTTCAGAAAGAAAAGCTCATGGTTCATTAAGGAAAATGAGAAACCACTTTATCGCCATCTTAAATTGAATTAACTCAATAAAGATTTTAGACCAAAATATTAAATATTAATATTTATATACCAGTGAGAGCTTCCAGATGACAAAATAGCAAGAGGTGGGAGGGGGAACATACATAAAATAATACATCAGTAATCTCCTAGCATGTTTGATCACTTAGTCCCAGAACTGCACTTGAAATTAAAAAAACATGGGTGAAGTCAAATTCTAATTCTGTAGACACTCCATCACTAAAGGATATTGGTGATGGACTTGTGCACACATCCATATAGATGCCAAGAAAGTGAACATTTAACAAAAATAAAAGTTTGCATAGTATGTTCCTTTATTTCAAATTCAATTTTTCACAAGAAAAAAAGAGCTAACTGGTAAAACAAAGAAGAAAAATCTAAGAACTGATGTTTTCTTTCAACATAACTAATATGGTTACTACCAAAAGGACTAATCCTTAGATACTATTTATAATTTTTAAAAAGCACTTACTAGCTTACTTAATTTAAAGTATAATTTAAAAATTATAATTTAAAGTATAATTTAAAATTAAATTTAAAGTATAATTTAAAAATTATAAATATATATGAACTCAATCTAAACCTTCTTTGAGTAACTATAAACATCAAATGTTCTTTTCCAGATTAAAACAAATTGAGGAGATAAACAATGAAAAGGTATAATTTCATTTATATTTTCCTCCCAATTTAAAACATGTGAGACTTTAGATCCATTGCAAGTAATCCATCTGAAAAGCAGGTTAATTATGAGCTTTCTCGTGCCAAAGAGGAAACTGGAGTAAGGTAGGGGTGAGGGGAAGGAAGCCATTTGGTACCTGATATGATCGGGCTTTTTCCTGTCATGTGAAAAAACGGGGCAGGATTAAAACAAAAGGGAAAGGTAGTAAAAGAATGAAAATGCAAATGTGCAAAATAAGCAAAGGACTAGCATGATATGAAAATAAAGCAAGAATTAAAGGAACAAGCTTAAGCTCATAACCTAATAATAAAAAATACCTGCTGCATTTTGTTCATATTAGACATATGTGCATCTCTACAATTAATTCCAACTCTTAGAAATCTGAAACACTAATATTTCAGAAATATACAAAGTTTTCCTTTGAGTACTATAGTATAGAAAGTTCTGACAGTACTGAGCACACCAGGCATATCCCTCTACTACTATTTTTTGTCTCTACAGTCATAGCCATAATATATAGACAGTACATTTCCTTAATTTAATAAGCTGCTCTTGAAAAATTAAGGGAAATAATCACTGTAGATATATCTATATAAACTTGAAACAAATGAAAACTTTTTATAAGAAAAGTGGATTACAAAATAAAAATTTCAAAGATAATAAAGTATTTTCAGTAATAAGACTTCCTTCCACTTGCTCGCCCTCTTTTCATCAAATGGTAACAGAAACCCGAAGGTCACAATAACTTGAGTTTATCTTCAATCTATATACACATTTCTTATTTTTTAAAAGAGGCCATAAAAGAAAAAACTTAGTATTTGTCAAGCAGCATAGGGAATACTTTGCTTTAAAAAACTGGATAACACATCTTGTGCTTAGTTGTATTTTCTAGTTCAATGGTGACTGAGCATCATAGCATGTAAGCTAGTTTTACTCCTCATTACTAACTAATACTAATATTCACTTATTTTCCTTGTTCACTCATCTTTTCTGAATTTACCATTGGGAAAAAAAGAGAAATATACAAGTACTAGTAATCCAACTAACACTGTTTGAGCCTGAAGTGAAGTTGCCAGCATGAGAAAATGACCTGCATGGAAAAGATTATCTTGGTAGATCTCACATGTGTCTTCCAAAAAATATGTATTTTAGACATAAAAATCTCATGGGACACACACAAGCTAGATATCTGAGACCAATGAGAAACAAGCTCAACAATCCACATAAGCCATAAAACTTTCACTCCTTGTTTTATTTCAATCACATCACACAAAACATTATCCCTTCAGTTAAATTTCAAGTTACAAAATGATGTTGTCAAGATATGCTTAGATTTTACAAAGAACAGCAGGTTATAAACCTGCTGTTCCTAATCATATTCACATTTCTCTCAGGAAGGAGGTCTTTTTAAAAGGTTGCTTTTAAAGAATATAATATGCCATTACTCAAAAAAACTATAGATAATGGCAAATTTGTCATCTTATGATTGGTACTTTATTGTGACTGCAAGGGGAAAAAATCAATTAAAATTAATCCACAATCTAAAATATATATATTAAAAACAATGAGCAGAAAAACCATTATATTTGAATGGTGAATTCCTAGATTTTTAAATTTAAGGTGCAAATACCACAAATACAGAGTATTTTATTCAGAGGCTAGAATATATTACATCAAACTGGACAGAGGACTAATTACAGAGGTAGGACAGACTCTTAAAGTTATAAATAGGTAAAAGAAAATTATTTGCTGACATTTCCTAAATTAGATTTTGATAAACTTCATATAAACAATATAAATTCTAAATTATTTTTAACTTGAAAATGAGAAAAAAAATTTTAAGTTACATTTAGTAGATTTACTCTTTCCTCTTCCTTTTAGTCACTGATCTGTAACCTAAAGGAAATTAGGTTCTGACTTTTGTTTTTAAATGTGAAGAGTTTTACAGAATGTTGATATGCTACATTTCTTGCAAGTCTATTTTTTACTGATGTTTCCATCAAAATGTTATTTAAAGGCATATAAAATGAAATTAATTAGCTAGCCATAATTTTTCCATAAGAATGCAAGTTTTTTTGTTAATACATTTTTAAATCATTTTAAAACTAATTTTTTAATAATTGAAGTTATATTTTATCAAGCTATAGATTGCTTGAAATGTCCAAAGTAATTTGTAAAAACACAATGTTGTGTGCCTCAGTTTTGCCACAGACCAGTTATATGGTCTGTACGTCTTCATTACTTTACTAAAAAATTAAAAATTGAACTACAGTCCTTAATTCTAATCAATAACTACCATCCCTCTACATACAGTCGGCTCCTCCTTTAATAAGCTATCTCATTTCTTAAGGTATTGTCTTTTTCACTTTGCAAATGGTAGTTAACAAGTTTACAGCTGAGAATGTTACAATTATTCCCTACTTGATTTTAGTTACATTTAATATCTATGCCAATTAATCAAATTCATAAAGCACATAGTGAAAAATGAAAAGGCTCATGCTTAAATCAGAATTAATTTTTGTCTATTGCTCTAAATGGCAACACAATTTTCCACTAACACTTACTGTGCTTCATTTTGAAGTCTGAGAGCATTTCTTATTGGAGAAGTCCATGGAAGTTCATTTCATTTCTTCTTAACATAATGGTATAGTTTCTATGGATTTATTGTATTTTCACTGTGTTAAACTTTAAGTAGGTTGTTTTGAAATCTGAAGGTTAAAATTCAATTCTAACATTACCTCATGAAACCATACTGGCTGAAAATACCTTTATTTATTAGAAAAATCTGATAATCACACTTTTTTATTTCAACTTCCTACTGTGACTAGGAAATTTGCCAGGAAAAACTTAAAAGATCATTGTACTAACTTTTACAGCTTAGAGAATATAATTTTCATTTTCACTTTACAATAATCAGAAACATTATTTCTAACCAGACTCTCTTGGTCTTCCTACACTCATGTATTATTTTTAAAGTTCTACATAATACAAAGAGGTTTAATATCAAATATAAACATATTATATTATTTGCAGTTTATATTCATTCTCATATGGAAAAATCATTTCTAATAAAAAACACCATATACAATTTTAACACCAGCAATATCAAATGCTAAGGAAAGCTCAATATATCACAACATTTGAAAATATCAGTAAATTTTTTCTATAAAACTTCAAAACCAAGAAACCAAATTAAGTGCACTGAAACTCAATTAAATATACTGATATCCAAGTATAATTGCTTCCATTCAAATTAATGAAAATGTATACCAAACTAAACTTACCAAGAAAACTCTATTTTGTTAATGTCCATGTTTTAAAAAGAAAACAATCTTCTCTATCATTAAGTGAATTCATATCCTGTTCAAGCAGTAAATAAAATATACATACTCAACCAATAATATAATAGTAAATCAAGTAGCCACAACCTAAAATTATTCTAATTTAGTATAAAATTCTTTTATTGCATAGAGAAGCATCTTTGAATAAAAGGTTAATAGCTATTATTCAGGAGGATGATCCTGAAATAACAATCTATTTTTTTAACGCCTACATCTCTGAAATTATTTCACTTTATTATTACTACATGAGAAAATATAATTAAAAAAATTATAAATCACTCACTTAATAGATATTTGCTGGCTTTATATTTTATAAAAAGCAGTTAAGAAAAAAAAATTCAGTGCTTTCGGTATCCATCAAGTTTAGAAAAAAGGTGTGCCAGCTGTCACACATACTTGATATACAAAAACAATCCCATTTCCAGAAATCCCATTTCTGGTTAAAGTTACTGCAAAGATAGGATCATCTAACTCAAAGATTCACATGTAAACACAAAGTAAAAAGTAAACATGAGATGGAGAGGAACCCAAACTTAAAAACAAAGTTCATTTATCTTACCCACCCACTATATTTAATAATTTGTAATCAAATCTATTTCATAACAAATATGGAAGGAAGCTCACATTCCTAGTAACAATCTAGTCATTACAGAACAAGTATTATAAAAATTTTCCTTACTTAAACTTTGCTTAAATTTTATAATTTAGAATTAGCATTGTCCCTTTTCCCAAAAGGAAATCTTATCTTCAATAAGATTCAATAAGATTCAGGGTTCAGGAAAGCTACTACGAACTGTGGCTTAAGGGTATTATGAAGGAAAGAGTTGCCAAATCACAGGGAAAGTCAGAAAACTGAGAATATGGAAAAATCAAGACTAGCATTTGAAATATATTACCTGTTCCAAGTTTTGAAGGCATTGCTAGCTCGTTTGAACAGATATCCTTCCATAACAATGCCATTTGCAGTATCTACATTATATTCTAACTTAGAATCATCACTGGAGAAATCCTAGAACAAAAAAACAAAAAAAGTTCATATGATTTGATGATGTTCCCCAAACAACAAGTTTACCCTACAAAAATAGCTCAAATTGTAGAAAAGCTTTAAAGATAGTTATATCAACAATATTCATAAAAGGGATGCCTAAATGATCAATAATAAAAGGATTGTTTCAACACATCAATAGTGGAATATTATACAACAATAATAATGGTGATGATTTTGAAGATGATGTTGATATAAAAACACAGGTGATTACATAGAATATACTCAAAGAGAAAAAACATAAATTGTATATACACTGTGATTAAAACTTCAAAATAATATGTACATATATAGACAAAAGGAAGAACTATATTATACAGGGGACATTTAAAATGTTTTCATTTTATCTCAATATTTCATGGTAATACATACACTAATAATTTTTTAAAAGGAATGTGTACATGTTTGAGATTTCTTAAATGTACCAATCTTTTCTAAATATATTATTATTATGTAAGTGATTTAATCTGACAAAAGTAATAACTCTACTATTTGGAAGTTCAGAAATAAAGTAAGGAATTTATGGCCTTTTTTTACCTATAAACATTTACTTTTGCAAAGGAAAACCACAGTTTGAAGTGGGCATGCTAAACTCACTTTAGAGGGAACTACGAAATTATTCATCACCTCTATCCTAATCACTACAGTCTTCACTCAAATGCACTTCAAACTTCCAATATTCCTACAAGGATTCGTAAAGATCTGAAATCCAATATCCTATATTTAAAATATTTCCTGGGGCCTCCCCGGTGGCGCAGCGGTTGAGCGCTGGGTTGCGAGGCTGCCCACAGCCTCTGCAGCCGCCGGCGAGGGTCCCACATGGCAAGCAGACCTCTCCTGCCGCCCGCTGCTCCCCTCAGCAGTGTACTTCGGTCCTTCTGCCTACTTTGTTCCCCGCTCTGGCTCTGGTGAATTCTCTCACCCTCCCACGCTTCTGACTGTACCCAGTGCTTGTATAAATAAATAAATAAAATCTTTAAAAAAAAAAAAAAAGATAAACTTTAAAAAATAATAATAATAAAATAAAATATTTCCTGATGAACTTCAAAGTAATTTAAACAAAATGCAAGACTGCTACTATTTCCAAATTTAAAACTCTAAAAATCAATCTCAGAACTTTCAAAATTACTTCTGGACCAATGATCAAAATTTTCATTACTATTCTATTAGGAAGCAGTAATTTTCTATCTTGAGAAAGAGTTGAGCAAAGGTTGACTACTATTCGTCAAGACTACTGGGATGTGGGGTTCCTGCAACTGGAGTGCAGACAGAGTGAGAATCACTTAAGGGTTTTCCAAATCTAAGAGTCTACAAAGATAGGAAAAGAAAACAGATTAAATTCAGAATTTAAAACTCTCCTGACATCTTTCAAAATTTAACCATAGAAAGATAGTAATCCAAAATAAATAGATTAAACAAAATCTTTAAATGAATTGCTACATTTCTTCCTATTTTTCCTTTGGAAAAAAGTCAGGAAAATTTTAATTTCATCATTAAAATTTATTTGAGACTCCATTACAGATCTTTATCCAGAAGCCAGCAATAGATATACTGAATTTGGAAACATAGTACAGGTTTCATTTGAAACATCAGCAGTTTTTAAATAACCCTTCTGCTACTTAAAACATAAGATTTCCGGGCCTCCCCGGTGGCGCAGCGGTTGAGCGCTGGGTTGCGAAGCTGCCCGCTCCCGAGGCGCCGGTTCGATCCCCGGCTGCTCCCCAGCCACCGGAGGAGGGTCCCACATGGCGCGCAGACCTCTCCTGCAGCCCGCTGCTCCCCTCAGCAGTGTACTTCAGTCCTTCTGCCTGCTCTGCTCCCCGCTCTGGCTCTGGTGAATTCTCTCACCCTCCCGCGCTTCTGACTGTACCCAGTGCATGTATAAACAAAAACAAACAAACAAAACAAATAAATAAAGCATGCCTCTATTAAAAAAAAAAAAAAAAAAAACATAAGATTTCCTTGAAAGTGCCCTGTATTTTAAGTATTTTCTAATTTTCAACTTTATTTCCTGAGATAAACTGTCTTCAATTAAATTACCATTAAAATCAATATTTTATAGCATTTAAAATGTGACATATTGGAACTCCCTGGTGCCTCAGGGGTTAAAGACAGTGCTATCAAGCTACTGCCACTTCAGCACAAGTTTGATCCCTGGCTGGCCAGGGGGCTACCCACACGGTGCAGCAGACCTCTCCTGACTCGCCCACTGCTCCCCTCAGCAGTGTATTTCAGTAGATCTGACTGTTCTGCTTCCCACTCTCTCTGGTGAATCCTCTCACCTTGCATGCATGCATAATTATTTAAAACATGACATATTACATGGATATATAATGAAAGTAACTACTAATGTTGGATATATAATATTAGAATTAAAATACATTGATGAACTGACAAAATTGGAAGGAATACCCAAAGGCAAATGATTAAGTGGAAATTGGTAGCCAAAGAAGTGAACAGAGGAAGCCAGCTTTCACTACAAAGGCTTTGGCCTAAATTAGGAGAACTTGAAGTTTTCATCTGAAGCCCAGAGATTAGAAGGCAAAATCCAGGTTGGCCCAGAAGACCAAAGCTGCTAAAAGCAGCTTTCCCTTTTGAAACTGCAGCAAGATACAAGGACCATCATTTCCAGATTATATTGGAAGTCCTGGGCAGCAAGACTACAAACAAATAGGCAAGGATTGAAAAGGAAGAAATAAATATTATTTGAAGATATGATTTGGCATATAGAACACCCAAAAGAATGAAGAAATAAATTAGAATTAAACAGAGGTGAATAAGACTACCTGTTGCAAAAATCAATACAAAAAAAAAAAAAAGTAAAGAGTGAGAAAAGAAGTTTGTAAAAGATAACATTTATAGTAACATTTGCAATACAAGTATCTAGGAACAAATCTAACAAAAGAGTATAAGACACTGGGGAAAATTTAAATAAACAGAAAAATATTTCAAGTTCATGGATTAGAAGACACTTAAGGCACATATCAATTCTTCCCCAAGTTGATGAATAGATACAATGCAATCAACCAAAATCCCAAAAACTATTTTTATGGAACCTGAAAAAAATCCTAAAATTTATATGGAAATGAAAAAATTAACCAATCACTTTTGAAGAAAGAGAAGATAGGAGATTGGCTTTGTTGGATGTCACAAAATACTATAAAGCTAAAAGAATTAAGACAGCAAAGAACCAGTACAATTAAGACAAAACACCAATGAAATAGAATAGAGAGCTTCAAACAAACCTCACATGTACGGAAATGATATACCGAAAAGTAATATTAAAAGAAACTTTTTAATAACTGATTTTGGGTCAACTAGCTACCAATATTAGAATAAAACGTCTTTGGATCTCCACCCCACACCACCAAAAACCCAATTACAGATAGATTAAAGATCTTCTCATAAAAGGCAAATGTGTTAATTTTAGAAGACTATGCAGAAGATATACTGTCATGATCTTGAGTTAGGAAGGGCTTATTAAACAAGACACAAAAAGTACCAAACATAATAGACTTACTAAGAAACGATGTGAAAATTTAAAGCACATACATATACCCCAAAAGGGGGCTTACACCCAGAATATTTGAAGAATGTGTTCAACAGTTAAGCAACTTGATGGAAAAAATGGGATGAAGACTACTATACATCTCACAAACAGAATATCCAAATAACCAATAGACACAGGGGAAGGTACCAGAACTTCCTAGCAAACAAAATGTAAATTAAAACCACACTGACTGGATCTGTCTCTCTTTTTTTTGTTGTTGTTTACCTGTAGTGCAGCCTTTTGTCAGCATTTAAGGGCAGAAAAAAGGTAAGTATTCATAACAAGCAAAGTTAGCATTAATTCTTTAAAGAAAAATAGTTGATTATTATTTTAAAATCAAATAATCTTAGATTCAATAATAATAATAACCACTTTTGGACATAAGGTACAACACTGAGCTGTGTATATCAAAGAGAGACTAGTAAAAGATGCATAATAATGGTCATTAAACAATTCAACTTAGACAAGTATTCATATTTCCACAAACATCCTGATCTCTCGTTTTAATTAAGTCATTAGTCCCAAGTTTAACAATCTTTTCATAGTAATATCATTAAAACAAGTCATACAATCAAAAGTGATTCCAACTTTGAACAAAGCAAAACATTTTACTTGACTATAAGTAGAAGTAACTAATTTAAAGATGTTCTAGTAGAAAATCTCCTTTTTAAACAATGTTTCTCTTTGAGTATTAGTAACTCATCACAAATAAAATTTTCCTTATGTTTAGTATTGACTTCACTTTCATTTTTTTCCCAATGACATTCTATGTCAGATGTAGTTCACTGACATTTTAAATTCTAAGTAGATGATAATAAAGTTGATTTGACAGCTCAATACCAGTAAATATTCTTAAAGCAATACTAGCAGGCATTTTGTCATATACTTATTATTGCATTGAAACTCTAATTCCTTTTATTTTCAGGTGAATACACAAAAAATATTACTAACTATGTAAGATAAAATATTATTAGGATAGTACCAGGTATGTCATATTCAAAACTTTTAGCATACTGAAATTAAAACTATTTCATATTTAAATTTTTATTTTAAAAAGTATGTTTTCAAATACTACTTTAGCTAGACTTGACAAATCAACAAGAAATGCAAGTGAAATGTGGCCATCACGTGAGTGTGAGAGCACTGCCTTAAGAGTGCACATGCTGAAAAGTCATTAATACCAGATACATACTTGATGCTAAAGTGGTCTTCTGATCCCTCCCTGCCCTCTCTCACACACACACTTTTATAGGAACTAGTGGTAATTAATTAAAACTATGAATAGTGCTTTAAATCCTAACTAAGAGTCACTACTACATCAGTTGATACTGAATGATGTGAACAACCCTAAGAGATGTGAAAGAATAAAATACATGCCTGAACATCTGAAAAACATTTTACTTTTCACATAAAGGGAGGAATTTATCTACACAATTTAATTATTAAAACTGAAAGGATTAGCTGGAACACAATGTTATCTTACTGAACAAATAACCAAACAATTGTGTTAAATGGGAATTAATCCCCTTTATTTTTCCCCCCCGAAAGTACCTTTTGTTGAATGGTGGAATGTTTTTGCTCCATCTCTCTTTTCTCCTTTGCTGCATCCACAACAAGTTGATCCAGCTATCAAGGGGGTAAAGTAAAAATTATACAGTTTTAAACATATAAAAGAAAAAAAGGTCAAGATTATCTTTTTAAATTCTATTCCCAATGAGGCAAATTAATTTTACTTCAAGGGTATTTAAATTTACTTTAAGGGCATTTACAATTTTAATATGGAAGTTCTTTTCTTCCACCCTGGTATCAAATTCTCTTTATAAAGGTCTATAACTCCTTGAGGGGAAATATTTCTAAGAACAATCATGGTGCCCAGCGAATGTGACAGGAAGCCTTGTCAAAGACACAGCAGTGATAACATGTCACTCTTTGCATAAGGAAAATGATGCTAGCTTAAGTTGCCTGACCTACTCAGCGATTCTGGTAGTCACAATCAAAGACAGGAAGAAGATAGAATGGTGACTTTTTTTCCCCAAACAGTAAAAGAAGCAGCCAAGTTAGTGCAGCCTAGTCCTCCCATATTCAAGGTGACAGACACTTTCAAAGACTCAAGATGCTGCATGCTTTCCAGTTGGCTTCCTAATGTCATAATCAAATCTCAGCGGTAGAAAAAATAATTCACCAGATAGAAGAGAAATCTAAGTAACATTAATAGTAGGGCCTCCCGGGTGGCACAGGAGTTAAAGACACAGCACTATCAAGCTATCATTGGCCACTGCAGCACAAGTTCCATCCCCAGCCAGCCAGGAAGCAACCCACATGGCTCAGCAGACTGCTCCTGTCTAGCCTGCCGCCTTCCTCAGCAGTGTATTTCAGTTTTTCTGCTCTCCACTCTCTCTAGTGAATCCTTTCACCCTCCCACAACTCTGGTCTACACCCCAGTTCTTATACATAAATAAATGAATCTTTTAAAAAAACAATAATAGTAATAATAATAATAACAACAACAACAAGAGCAACAGGATAGCATTCATTTGTAAGACCAGGATACAAAATCGCCAATAACAAAGGTTAGTCTATAAAGATAAAAAAAACTTATAAAGTCAAAAAATCCCATTTGTTTCCTAATCCTTTCCATCAAAAAGATAATTTTTTCATTAAAAGGAAATAATCTGATTTCCAGTATCATTACAAATGCAGTGGCTTCTTAAACTCCTCTTCACTTGAATAATAAACAACCAGACTATAAAATAATACTTCATGACATGGTTCTACTCCTATAGACACATCAGTACGTTGCTTCATCTTTGAACCTCCATCATCTCTGATTAATATATGTATGATAAACGAATAAAAATGTAAATAGCAACAGGATTGTGGAGAAAAATATGTACAAATGTTTTGATAAGCTTTAAAAACTAAATTTTTAAAAAATCTTAAAGTATTTGATCATTTATACACTCATTAGCACAAATTTTTTTCCCTATAGGAAAATAATTCTATACACAGGATCATCTTAATATTACCAGATAGTTATAAAGGATGAAAAGAAAAAAACGCTGAAACAAAACTACCACTATTACAAATGTTTGACTTAGATGACAATTACACTAGACTCCACCTTAAGATGTAATACATTCATACCTTATAGTAGCATACAACACTGATTTAGTGGGTAATGCTGGCACATGCTACACTAAGAAAGTTATATAGTTTTTTATACTGAATGAGTGGAATAACCATTATACCATGTTTTTATAATCTTAATTAAATGACAAATTATTAGTCATTCATTCAGATTGAAGCACAGTGCAATGCAGCCCTCAAGAGTCAAATTAATATGTATGAACTCACATAGTAGTATCTTCTGCCACAACAGAACTGCAATTTAAGTGATGATTTTTTGCCTGCTAAACTGGTAGTAAATTCCTCTAATGCATCTTGGGAAGTTTCTCTCTCTCTATTGGGGCAGATGTACTATGGAAAAAATATCTTTAACATGGTGGGGCATGGGAAGGTTGGAGTTGGGAAAATACGAAGACTGGCAGTCTTGTCACCTGTATGCTAGAGTTTTCTGAGACATGGAAAAAACATAAAAGTACATGGATATGTGAATGGATAAAGAAAATGTGGTGTGACCACACACACGCACGTGCACGCACACACACACAGAGCATGGAATATTATTCAATAAACTTATAGATACAGAGAACAAACAGATTGGGGATAGCTAGAGGGTGGAAAAAATGCGTGATGTGGTCAAAAGATACAAAATTTCAGTTATAAAATTAATAAGTCATGAAGGCGGACCCCACAACATGCTAACTATAGTTAATAATGCTGTATTAGATATGTAAAAGCTACTAAGAGAGTAAACCTTAAAGGTTCTCATCACAAGAAAAAAAATTTGTAACTATATGTGATGATGGATGTTAAGTAGACTAGAGTGGTCATTTCACAATATATACATATAACGAGTCTTTATGCTATGCACCTGAAATCAACATAATGGTATATGCCAACTGTACCTTAAAAAAAAAATACAGTTATCAATATATAACCATAAAAAAGATTACCTGTGCACCAAGATCCTTCATGTAGGGCCCAAGTTCACTAAATAGATCATATCCTTGATGAAAAAAGGCCAAATGGGCATACATAAAGGATAACATCTAATAAGAGAAAAAAAAGATAAGCATGTTAAAATTAATTCTTAGACAAACAAAAAACATTGATCCTAGTCAGTGTTTTGGTTTTCTTAGGTAACAACATTACAATACAATACAATTTAGAGCCATAAGTTCACATCTCCTCAGATGTGTGTTTCCACATTGTATCCACTGCTAAGGCATCTGAGAGCAAAAAAGAGAGTGCTTAATGGACTTTGGTAGAGAACTATCTAATGATTAAAAATTATTCCACAACAGCTCAAAAAGCCAAACCAATCTAAAATTAAACTGGGTCATTTTCTTAAAAGAATAATTCAGTAATATATTCTCATATTTACAAATGACAATAAATTCCATTTAAAAGAAATTTCCAAGTTCAAAATCCTAATAAGGCCCCAAATTTTAGTAGTTTGGCTTATCTGGATGATCAAACTTTACATAGTAATAATTCAAAGAATCAAGTTTTCAATAGCTTTGCCATTTTCCTAGGTATATTTAGAATATCTTCATGTCTTTCAATCAAACCCACTGGCAAAGTCATACCTTACAAATAAGACACTAAAAGGTTAGAAGGGTAAATATGAAGCTGTCAAAATAAAACAATCATGAACACTTTACACCGTACAAGAATGGAATGCTCGGCGCCCCAGAGGTGGCAGAGGGGGTTGAGTGCTGCACTGTGAAGCTGTCCGCAGCCTGTGCAGCACGGGTTCAATTCCCAGCCTGCCAGGGAGAAACCCACATGGCCATGCTGCAGACATCTCCTGCCTTGCCCGTTGCTCCCCTCAGCAGTGCTCTCGGTCAGTCTGCCTGTTCTGTCTCTGGTGAATTCTCTCACCCTCCCACCCTTCTGACCTGTACCCCAATTCTTATATAAATAAATATATCTTTAAAAAAAAAAAGAAATGCTCACTTTTAACCCTCAAGATTCCAAAATAAAATGAGTCAACAGACTTTGCCAATTTAAAGGTTTCTTTAATATTCACTCCAAAAATTTAAAAATGCCATTTAATGGGTTGAGAGCTTTTCCAAGTTTTCCTATATTTAATCTATTCATGAGAGAAAAATATACCCTTATTTGTATTAAGCCTTTTACATGGGAAGAAATTAAACAATTAAAATATTGAAAGAAACTTCCAAATATATATATATCCATGCTATTTTTAGCAAGAAGAGATATCTATTAAATTCTCTGAAAACCTAAAATGGCCATAAGGTCCTTCACACTCAAGAATTCCTCAAAAGAATTTTTTTTTTTTTAAAGATTTATTTATTTGTTTGTTTGTTTATTTGTACAAGCACTGGGTACAGTCAGAAGCGCGGGAAGGTGAGAGAATTCACCAGAGCCAGAGCGGGGAACAAAGTAGGCAGAAGGACCGAAGTACACTGCTGAGGGGAGCAGCGGGCAGCAGGAGAGGTCTGCGTGCCATGTGGGACCCTCCTCCAGTGGCCGGGGAGCAGCCGGGTATCGAACCGGCACTGCAGAGGCTGCGGGCAGCTTCGCAACCCAGTCCTCAACCGCTGTGCCACCGGGGAGGCCCTCAAAAGAAATCTTTTAACGAGAAAAAACCAATTAAATAAGAATACAAAGACAAATGGACAAAGCTCACTAAAAGCTTATTCTGGCATTAGATAACTATGGTTGTCAACTTTGTGAAAGTAATTTTTAAAAATAAGTTGTATTTAAAAAAAAAGAGGAAGGAGAGTAATAGATAGGCTTGCAATTAAAATGTGAAATATGTCTGCCATCAAAACATATAATAAATGTATTTAAAAGATACACTATGAACTAGTAAAATACACATGCGAAAGGACTGTCTTAATATATGAGATGCTACAAATCTCAAAAATGAATATACCAACAAGAGACAAAGAACATAAACCGAGAACTCAGTGGACAAAAAAACGATTAGAGTAGGAAACATTCCAACTCATTTGTATTAAAGAAATGCAAAATTGAACAATGGGATCACATTTTCTATCTACCAAATTGTGGATATGATGAGAAAACTCCTAGCCAGTATAGATGGGAAATGTTCTTTCTCACATTGTTAGTAGAAATATATAATGTTTGCAGTACGGTAACAATTTCTAAAGTCCTAATACATGTTTAAGCTCTTTGACTAATCTCTTGCTAAATCTATCCTAAGAAAATAATCATATTATTCATTAGAATGACCACTATTATGTTATGCTTTAATATCAAAAGCATGGAAATTACTTAATTATGCATTTGATGGATAATTTTATAGTATATTCAAAGTGTTTATAGTATATTTATAGTATATTCAAGGTCAACAATGATATGCAGGCTTTATCCAGCCCAACCAACTAGTTTTGAATTGCCAATGAACTAACAATGGTTTATCATATCTAATAATGGAAAGAAAATCAAATCAAAATTCATCTATCATGAAAATTATATGAAATTCAAATCTTTGCATCTACAAATAAAGTTTGATTTGAAATACAGCTCTTTACTTACAAATTGTCTATGGCTGCTCTCTCATTACATCAGTAGGATTGAGCAGTTGCAACAGAAACCATATGGGCCATCGAACCTACCATATTTATTATCTCTTCCTTTAAAAAAAAAACTATGCCCGCGTCTGGAATATACTCACATGATAGAATTCTACAGGCCACAAAAGTAACCACTAAATAAATAATATTTAACTACACATGGTGACTCTATTATGTATTAGTAAAAAAGAGTTACAAAACAGCATGTATGAATGATTCCTATTGTGTAAATGCAAGTTTGCAATTTTAAAAGGTACTAATATGCGTTAAGTATACACACAAGCAGAGACACACGGGGGGGGGGGGGGGAAGAGGGGGCGGAAGGGCGGGGAGAGGAAGGACTAGAGACAAAATAAGGGGGGGTGCAATTGTATGGGGAATATAACCATAATGAAAATGCATACATTGTGCAAAGATGAAAAATGATGTAAGAATTATATAAAATAAAATATTAAAAAAAGTATACACATAAGCATATGCACACAAAAAGAAGGAAAGACAAAGATATGCCAAATATTAACAAAGTGCCCTCAGTAGTAGGAACACTGTTATTTTTTTTTCTTCATACATTTTAGTTTCCAATTTTCTACTATTAACATACATTATTCTCAATCTGGAAAAGGAGGTGGAGAAAAACTGGAAATACAATGGACTTACCTAATAAGAAATAAAAAAATACAGACAGAATTTAGGTAAAAGCTAGCTAGGGAGTACTATCAAAAGCAATTTAAGCATATGCTTTCAAGAAAAAAAATAATTTCAATGAAGAAATTCAGAGAGACGAAATAATTTCCAAGGTTCTCAAAACAGGAATGAGTTAAATATCATTTCACCACCATCCCCAGCCCACTTCCCTGTTAGTGTTAAGACAAAAAAAAAAAAAATAATGGATGAATGAATTAAAAAAAAAAAACAAACCCATATACTGTCACATAAGTCTAGAAGGCTCAGGAAAAAAAAAATAAAATGAGCCTCAATTTCATCCCACTAGTTTTTGGGGTTTTTTTTTTTTTTTTGGTTTTGTTTTGTTTTTTTATATTTTTTAATTTATTTTTGTGTAGAAGAAATGGGTACAGGTCAGAGATGCCGGGGATAAGAGGATTCACCAGAGACAGAGTGGGGAACAGAACAGGCAGAGCTACTGAAATACTCTAAGGCAAGCAGCGAGCAAGGCAGCTCAAGAGGTCTGCTGCACTATGCCTGGTGGGTAGTGTAATAATGCAGAGACTGGTTTAACCCCTACGCCACCATGGAGGCCCCCGTTAGTTTTCTAACTGCACACCAAAGAACAAACCAAAAAGTCAATAGATCATCTACAACCCTAATGGAAAATTTATCTAACTGATACTATTTTTGTATGTCCTCAATCTCAAATACATGTATGAAATGTATTAAATTAAATTAAATGTTGCTTTAAGTTCAGTTATATGAGATACATATAAATAACACACAAGAGACAAAAATGTATTAAGTCACATATAAGAAGCACAAATAGGGCCCCCCCCACCCGGTGACACAGCGGTTGAGCGCTGGGTTGCGAAGCTGCCCGCAGCCTCTGCAGCGCAGGTTTGATCCCCGGCTGCAGGGCGAGGGTCCCACATGGCACGCAGACCTCTCCTGCCTGCCGCCCGCTGCTCCCCTCAATAGTGTACTACACTTCATCAGTCTGCCTGCTCTGCTCTCTCCTCTGGCTCTGCTGAATTCTCTCACCCTCCCGCACTTCTGACTGTACCCAGTTCTTGTATAAATAAATAAATAAATCTTAAAAAAAAAAAAAAAAAAGAAAAGAAAGAAACACAAATAAAGGTCAGTAAGAAGATAAATTATGAACCCAGAATAGATAAGTAAATATATATACATATATACCTATTTATATATACCACACATATACACATTAGATATGATTCTGCTTTAAACAAATATATACATTTAGTTTCATATTAAAATATTCAAAACATTTCAATAAATATCTTACTGATTTTAGAATTTCTGATCTCCTTTTTGATTGAAGAACATTAATCTGAGGGAAAATGCATTAGTTAATCATTCATGATTTTAAAAACTAATCCGTGATGCAGTATTCCAAGAGTTGCTTATCCAGTGGCTTAACACTTTTCCAAAATAGCAAATAAAAAAATTTCAAGATTTTTGGAAACTTTTTCTCTTACTAACCAGGTCCCAGCTTATATATCCCCTCCTCACGAAGGCCTAAAGCAAGCATTCATGCACTCTGTACATCTACCCTATTTATTTTCTTTACAGCACCTATAACGAATTTTATTCATCCATTCATATATTCATTCATTTATGTCTTTTCCCCAGTAAAATATAAGCTCTTATTCCCAGCTCTATTCCCCCAGTGGCACATAGTAAGCATTTCATAAATAGTTGTTAAATAAATTCATAGAACTTAAATAACTATTTTAATTAAATGATAATTATCAAAATACATATAAATTATGAAATTTGCCTTTTATGGGATCTTTCCCAACTCCAGAAATTAACAGTATTTTATTGTCTATTCTTTCATATCAGCTTCATGAAATAAAATATCTATAAAAGAAAAGAATCATTCACTCTTTACTAATAATGTCAAAACATTATAGGATATCTGACTCCCCCCCAACTATCAGAATATCTGACTTTTTCAGATGTCCTTTCCATTGAATATTCTGTTATTTTATAAGAAAATGTTAAAGCCCAAATCAGAAGACAAAAAACAGGTCAAAAAAAATCTAAATAACTTTACTAAGCACTAGTTTTCTATTGCACATCCGGATCAACTCCTATTCATTTTTCACTTTGAAATATTAACTTTCTAACTAATTAATACAAAGTAAAAATCAAAATCAACAAGCAACTATAAACCAGAGACACACTACGGGGTTGGGGCGGGGGACTGCTAGGAGAGGAAGGATTAGGGTCAAAATAAGGGAGGGTGCAATTGTATGGGGAATATAACCAAAATGAAAATGCATACATTGTGCAAAAATGAAAAATGATGTAAGAATTATATAAAATAAAATATTAAAAAAACATATTAATCTTCTAATGCTCTAACGTAAACATGTAGGCTGCAAGTAACTTTTATTCAAATCTTGACAAATGTTAAATTGCCTGTTTTACTGTTTATTTTTTGGTTTGGCAATGAAAAACAGCATTTACTTGGAAAAAAAGTAGATCTAATGCTAAAGCACAGTAAACTTTACAAATTTGTAAATTTATTACTTATATTCTATAAAGTAGACACATTAGCCATATAATAAAACAATGGTTCTCATCAGGAAAATCAGACAAGTTTATAACCATATTGGAGAGAAATAAATAGGTCCCAGCTTAAAACTACTGGATAGACACCAAAGGAAATAGGTAATTTACATATAATGTGTAATTCTGGGGGAAAAAAAGATTAGCTAAATCCCCTCTCTAAATAAAATGTATAGCTGAACCATTCAATCTTTACCAAAAAAAATTACTTATCTATTTTCCAAGCACTGGATTACAAAGATGAGATACAATGTAGGAGAAGAATAAACATATAAGTAATTGCAATAAATGGACAAGTTCTCTAGCTGCAATGTATATGACAATATTACACCAGCATAAATAAGGCAGAGGCAAGAATAATTCATGTTGCCTGGAGAAATGTGAGTAACTTTGAACACAGAACAAGAATGAATTAGAAATGGGCTAGGTAAAAGAAATTCAAGGAAGACAAATTTTATGAAATTGTCTTACTATTTTAGACAAGAGGACAGGTATTAGAGCTGCAGCAAGGATGAGAAATAACTGATTTAAGAAATATAAAAGAGGATTTTTCAAGGCAGTTTTGGTTATTAGATATAGCAGTTGAGAATGAGAAGAACATCTAATGTAACTCTCCAATTTTAAACTTCTATAATTGAATGAAAGGGTAACAACAGTCAGGTAATGCAGCTATTTAGGAAGACAACATATTTCAATTTTGGACACAGTAGGAATGGGATACCTCTGTGAAAAATAGATTTTGTAATCTATGCATGGTAGCACTTCAAGCAAGGGATATGATGAAACTGTCAGGGATATTACAAAGTAAAGGTACCAACACTAGAACTCTAAAAGAGATACTGAAAAGGTGGACAAAGGGGAGAAGCCCCTGGTAGAAACTAAAAAGAAACAGAAGTTAAGAGGACGACCCATTCACTTGTAGGACTGTTTTCCAGCCCGTAACATTGAACCTATATTTATCTTTGGAACTTAGGTGTGTTGTGTATCCATATGTATAGATATACCCACAAATTAGAATATTACTTAGCAATCAAAACAGATAAACTCATGCCATATGCAACAACTTGGAATGAGCTGGAAGGGATAATGCTAAATTAAATAAGTCATAGGGAGAAAAATAAATACTAGATGGTATCATATGTAGAATATAAAGCATCCAATGTGTCAAAAGAAAAAAAAAAGCTTAAAAACTACCCTTGAAAGTTTACTCTAGAACTGAAGACTAGGGGGTGGGAGGGGGTGTTGGGAGTCCAAAGACGGAAGGGAATACAGTGGGCTGTGGTGCTGGACTATGGGCGATTTGGAACAAGTACAGTATGGTGGTGATATCTGAGTAGGGCAGAGGAGTGTCCTTTATTTCCAAAATACCAACAATAATGTAAACCAACATTACTTCAATTTAAAAAAAGATGATGACCTAAAGTAATATGAGATAAAGACAAAAGTATGTTTCAAGAAGAAGAATGTGGTCTCTGCCACTTTAATGAAAGAGAACAGATAAATTAGATAAAAACTAAAAACTAATCTAATGAATAAAAACTTAAATAAGCCTTTTCAGTGGAACGCAATAGAAAGACTGAGGACTCATACTAATGGCAGGAAGTAGTATGAATGTAAAGTACGTAATAAGAGATGGGAAATACAGACCACAGAGAATATGCCCCAAGACCTCTGGTGGACGAATGAAATCATGAATAGTACAGGAACCTTTATACATTGTGCTTTTTCCTACACATACAAATGATAGTTTAATTTATAAATTAGGCACAGTAAGAAATTAATAATAACTAACAAGAGCACAATTATAAAAATAAATATAGAGAAAATTACATGAAAGTGGTCTCATCTTTCTCTCTCAGAATATAAAATCATTCATATTTTCATTCCATGGCTGACTATGGTTAACCAAAACCATAGAAAGCAAAAATGAGAAGAAAGGAAAACACAGATAAGGGGGAACTACAGGATTCCATTCTAGAAATCTTTCATTAATAAATTGACTATGGACTATAGTTCGTTTTTAAAAATTTAACTTCCCACTTACTGAACAGGAACATAATAGAAAAAATCTAAAAGCCTTTTTCTACTGTTTTACACAGTTATCTAAATAGGTTTTAATCACTGATTTACATATGGTTGCTAAAATATTTTTTAAGAAATACTCTGCGATTATCACTGAATCAACAATTTCTAGGGACTCCAGTGTTGTTTTCTAAAAAAGAAATTTGGACAAAATAATTCCCTAAGCTTTAAAATTTTTAAGCTTTACTGGTATTCCAGAGGAGGTTGTGGGGGAAGTCAATTCAAAAGAGGAGGCCATAGCAGATACTAAAAATAACACTGTTATGTAAAAGTTATTTTCTTTGCAAAGGAAATTTAAATGCTAGTTTTTCCTATTTTTTCTGAATACTAATTAAAGAAAATTGTTGATTGGGAGACAGGAATCTATGTAAACTTTCCCTCCATTAATTTTTTGATAACCCAAAAGAGAAGAATTTGAATTTCAAAATTGTTAACTGTCAACTGAAAAACAGAAGTTACCTGTTTAAAAATGTCTGCATTGTTAAATTTTTCAGGGTAAAAATTTCCATGAAATGTCAAAAAAGGTAAAAAAAACAAAAAAAAAAATTGAAATTTCAGGCTTCACACTCCATGATAATATAGGAAGACATAATGTACATGTAAAACAATGTATAAAGCATGCCTTCATTTTTGTCTCAAATTCCTTTACAGATCGATCACATTCACACTAGTTTCAATTATACATTAGACCAGAAAATCACCAAGCAACCTATCAAAAACCAACCTCTCCAGTTTTAAAAAGCACCTAGTACAAATATAAGAACACTATTTCTAGAAATATTTTCCTTCAGCAACATGGTGAGTCTAAGTACCTCTAAGCATCTATCTATTCTAAAGAAGTAATCATTAATGTGGCTAAAGAATTGTATACAAAAATGTTATTATCATTTAAAATTACTGAAAATATAAGCATTGCCAGTAAAAACTGGCAACACTATAAATGTCTAAAAATTTAATATTAATTAAATTGACACATCAATTCCATAAAATAAAATACCACAATTAAAAATGCTTTTTATAAAAAAAGTAATTATAATAAAGTGAAAATCAAAATCAACAAGCAACTATAAACCAGAGATATTCTGCAGGGGCAGTAGAAGGGAGTAGGATCAAAACAGGGGTGGGAGGAGCACAAGGGACTATAGTGATGGTACACAGGTGAATTGGTGGTGAGAATTTCACAGGGACTACAAACAAGAGGAGAAAGCATACATTGTACAAAAATGAAGAACGATGAAAAAAATTTATAAAATAAAAAAACAAAAAAAAATTTTTAAATAATGCTTTTTATAGCATTTAAAAATGGAGGAAAGTTTAATGGTAAGTGAAAAGGGAAAGAACTAAGAATCAAAGGTATACACATATCCACATAGATATATGTGCATATATGGATAGACACACAGGTCAATGACAATTTTTCACAAAAAATCATGGTTCAATGTTAAACTAAAAAAGTATTGGTTTAACAAAAAGTATTGGTTTATCTTTTTCAGTACAATTATTCAAAAGTAATGACATGTTTAATAAGCATTTTTTGGAAACATAATAAATATACCTGTAGTACATAGTCAAGGGCTATGTGTCGAAAACATTTTCTTGTTGCTGTGAGAATGTTTGTGGCTTCTTCAACTTCATGCTGTTTATTTCTTTGTACTTGAGCATTTTTTACTAATGCATTTTCTTTTTCTTCACTGACTTTTTCAAATTGCTTCTTGGCATCTTTGAATTTTCTAAGATCTCTAAAAAATAAAACATTTGTGAAACTTTCATAAAACTATCTTGATCAAAAACTTTAGGAACATAACATTTAGAATTTAATTCTTATGCTTCTCTATTTGATTCACTATATATTGACATTCCAACAGAACTTCCAACTAAAATATATATTGTTTCTCAACGATAAATCATTTCCAATATAGTCAGCTAACATTTCCCTCTTTAAATGTGTGAAATTTGAGGTGAAACTAAATTATCAAATTAACACTTAAGAAACATAAAAAGCAAAGTTAATTTTTTTTATCCCAAAGACAATCTCAGGACATTTACCTTCTCTAACCAAATGATTTTCAAACAGTAGTATACATAAGAATCACTGTAAGAAGCCTATTGAAAATGCAAATTCAAGCCTCCCCTGGTGGCACAGGCAGTTGAGCACAGCGCTATGAAGCTGTCCTCAGCCTCTGCAGCGCCAGTTCGATTACCGGCTGGCCTGGCAAGAATCCCACACGGCAGTGGCAGACCTCTCCTGTCTCACCTACTGCTCCCCTCAGCAGTGTATTTCAGTCTGCCTGTTCTGTTTCCTGCTCTGTCTCTGGTGAATCCTCTCACCCTCCCACAAATCTGGCCTGTACCCCAGTTCTTGCATGCATGAATAAATAAAACTTAAAAAAAAAAAAAAAGCAAATTCCAGAGATAACTATTCTGGTCTTTGGGATAAATACTAGAAATCTGAGGACTATCTTTTTAAGACATGCCCTTAATTTTACTACTATGGATAGTATATAGTTCACAATTCAAAATACATTCATTTCTTGCTGAAGGGAATTACTGGGTAAAAGAGCATAAATGTATTCTTAAAACATATACAACACAGTGCTTTCTAAAAGAATTGTACCAATAAAGAGAAACAATAACCATTTCATTTCAAAGACTTAAATCTAAAACCCTTGATTCATTAATGATCTAAGGGTAAGTCGCATAACAACCTTTTACTTTTTCTACTAAGGGACTAAGCAAAATAATTTGATGACAAATGATTTAAAAATAATAAAATACGTTTAAGAAAAATTTAACTTTTTGTAAAAAGCCTTATTTTTTTAGAAGCCAGGATATTCTGAAAGCTAGTTTACTGTGAAGTAACTTATAAAGAATCTGCAAAATATCACCCTTAATACAATTCTAACCTCCTAAGATAGCAGTGAATTTTCTTCATGAGATATGACACTATTTATAGCTTATAATGTCTATAATTAATCCTGAATGCTGTATCATAATTTATCTGTAATTTTATATAGTTCATAGTTTCAGTCAGGAATTAAAAGAGAAAGACAATTATTCATATAGAAAAAGAAAACTTTCCTATCTGGAAAATTCAGATTTTTTTTATTTCTAGCTTCATTTTATTTCACATATAAAATGGGATGAATGTGGCAGAAAAGACTTATGAGGCAAAAAGAATGTATTTTCATTATTCATCCTCACATATTCCGTTATTTTTTTCTTCAAATAAAATTCCATATTATACTAAGACAATGGAAAAATTAGTCTCAACTATAATAAACTAATAATATTTCAACCACTTTTGGGACTTGCTTTGTTTTTGAAAGACCATTTATTTACACTGAAATATTTTTAACCCAAAGCAATTCTAGTTACATGACCTGAACATATATTTCATAGTATAAATGAAAGACATTAACTCTGATTCCCTTACAGAGTAATTTGAAAGAAATGCAATATACATTTCACAAAAGAAAAAAAAAAAACCTCAAATATTTTCAAGAATTCATGGTCCATAATTTCATTAAAAAGATACCAACTCCCAAACATGATCATTAGCTAGATGCTGTTCTTTTTATTCCTCACTGCAATTAACTTACTCTTTAACAAAGTTTTGAAGTTGTGCCTTAATTGATCTCTGAGTTTGGTCAAATAGGATCTAAAAAATAAAATACAACATTAAACAATTAGAAGGTAAACAAAGTAAATAATTTTCAGGTAGTTCTATAAAATATCACATCCTTCCATCAAAGAGTCAGATTCTAGTAACACTTATATTTTTTATTAAAAACTACTTTAAAAATAGACATATAAAAAGGAAATTAAAGCAGTTTAAAAAAAGACTCTATTGCCTGAGTTCAATTCCCAGCCAGGCAGTTAACCCATATATGGCACAGCAGACCTCTCCAGTCTTGCCCATTGTACCCCTTAGCAGTGTATTTCAGTAAATTCACTTATTCTGCTCCCTACTCTGTCTCTGGTGAATCTTTTCCCCCCAACCCCCGCACCTCTCTCCTACACCCCAGCTATATACATACATACATACAAAATATATTTTTAAAAATAAATAGGTAATTAAAACTGATTTTCAAGCCAATTTCATCTAAAAAAAAAAAATCACTTCCATTTATGAAGGAAAACAAATTACTTTAATGTTTAAATAAAATGCTCAAACAGTAAAATGACTCAATACCTTCATTTTAATTCAAGCTCTGGGAAACAACCTAAAAAAAAAATTCTGCTCCATGTACTTATTGCAATATATCAGAACAACCAAGTGAAAGTAACTGCAGAAATTCTTTATAACTTGGATAGAGGCTAGACATTTGAGAAGACCTCGGGATTTAAATATTTTACACCTTGAATTCAAGTAAACATTACATACTCTTTTAGGTTAAAAGACTGCTAAGATTAGAGACAGGAAAAACATTTTATTCCTTACAATAATAATTTGCCCCACTTAAATGAAGCCACCTATTTAACTCTTGATAGCTTTCTGTGTGATTTCACAGGGTTCCAATGGAAATTCAAAGAACTTTCATTTACAGATTTCCTTTATTCAGAGTATGAAACAGATGTCAGATAAAAAGGCAGAAAAATCAATACTCAAAGTGAAAAAGAAACCCTCCTGTCATTCTACTAATTAAAAAGAGTGCCAATTTCATTCTCTGAAACCTTGCTTTTAGTATAATCTTATGTTCTCTCCTAAATAACACAAAAACACATGCACACACACACAATATAGGTTTAGTACAGATTTTAAAATCTGTCAAATTGTTACAAGAGGAGCTTTTTATATTGAACACAAAGTATAAACCCAAAGTAAGCAGAGGTGAAAAAAATTATAAAGATCATAATAGAAGTCAACTAAATAGAAAGCAGAAAATATCAAAACTCAATGAAACCAAAATCTAGTTCAAGAGAATCTGAACAATTGATAAACTTCCAGGCAAAGCAATCAGAAACACACACACACACACACACACACACACAAATTTTAAATATCACAAATTCTATACATAAGATAAAGTATAGTAAGGGGAGTTAGAAAATAATTTTATTCCTATAAATCCAACAAATGAGATGGGTAAATTCTTTGAAAGACAAAAATAACAAATCCTTACTCAAGAAGAAACTGATAACCTAGACAGAATTAAAGAAATAGAATCTACAGTTAAAATCCTCCACAACACAAAAAATTAAAGCTATACATACATAAAACCTACATTCCCACCCCCAGATATTTTCCCAAGAGGAATGAAAACTTAGTTTCACTCCAAAACCTGTTTGCAAATGTTTACAGCAGTTTCATTCTAATTACCAAAAACTGGAATCAATCCAAATATCCTTAGAGAAACAATGGAACACCATAGAAATATTATTCAGCAATGAAAAGTAATACATGTAACAACAGAAACTAATCTCAATATATTTTACTAAGTAAAATAAGTCATTCAAAAGGCTACAAGCTCTATGATTCCACTGACATAACATTTAGTAAGGCAAAAAAGAAAAAAAAAAACCATAGGGATGAAGAACAAATTAGTGATTTTCAGTGGTTGGGTACTGAAGAAAAGACTAAGAATGGGGTGGGCATGAGCATATTTTTAAGGTTAATGAAACTATCATGCCGCTTGACCACAGTGCAGAGACCCAACTTCAGGTATCTGTCAAAACTCATAAAATTGGAATTCACAAGGAATCAATTTTGTTATATGTAAATTTTAAAATAAGTTAAGATATGAGTAACAGTATAGAAATGAACCAGCAGATTTTCAAAAGAATTAAGGAGAAACGAATAGCATGACAGGGGCTCATTGAAAGTACAGACATAGAAACATTATGTCAACAAAAACAAAATACAGATTCTTTTAAGGAGTACTAACATGATGAACACTAATCATGTAATAAGGGATAAAATAAAGAGTATGGTATCTTATAGAAGATATTTGCTGATCTCAATGAAATTAAGTTACACTACAAATAATGAAAGGAGAGAACCACTGATAAACAATTAACAATACAAATCAATTCAACAACTCTGTTTGGCTTGCTGCATGCCATACTCCCCCTTTTCTTCTTCAGCTCACATCCTGGTCCATGTACCCAACCAGTCTTGCCATGGCTATGCTCACCCAGGATCAGCAGTTCCAGAAGTTGCAGGAATGGCACCACACGAACAGCTCAAAACTCAACTGGGCCTCCCCAGTGGCGCAGCGGTTGAGCGCTGGGGCTGCAAAGCTGCCCACAGCCTCTGCAGCGCCAGTTCGATCCCCAGCCGCCAGCGAGGGTCCCACATGGCGTACAGACCTCTTCTGACAGCAACCGCTGCTCCCCTCAGCAGTGTACTTCATCGGTCTGCCTGTTCTGCTCCCCACTCTGGCTCTGGTGAATTCTCTCACCCTCCCACGCTTCTTACTGTACCCAGTGCTTCTATAAATAAATAAATCTTAAAAAAAAAACTCAACTTACACTACCTTTTTGAAGGGGACAAGGAACATTTCAACCATTTCAGCCTGACCCTCAACACCGACCATGGGCGTATTCTGTTGGATTCCTCCAGGAACTTTGTGATGGAGAATGTAATGCAGATGCTGGTGAACTGGCCGAGTCCAGGGATGTGGAGGCGGCCAGGGATCATATGTTCAGTGGGGAGATTAACGTCACTGAAGACCGAGCAGTGCTGCACGTGGCCCTGTGGATCCGGTCAAACACACCCATTTTGGTGGATGGCAAGGATGCAATGCCAGAAGTTAATATCGTCTTGGAGAAGTTGGCCTTTCTGCCAGCACAGCCAGAGTGCTGACTGGAAGGCGTACTCAGGCAAGGTTATCAAGGATATCATCAACACCTCTGACCTGGGACCCTTCCTGGTAACAGAAGCCCTCAAGCTATACTCTTCAGGAAGTCTCCAACATCAATGGGCCAGCCACATACTGCCAAAACCCTGGCTGAGTCCTGAAACTGAGTCCTGAAACCTCCCTATTCATCAACACTTCTAGGATCTTAACCACCCAAGAGACTATCACAAACACAGAGGCAGCCAAACAAGTGCTTTCTTCTGTTGGTTGAAGAACCTTCTGAGGTTTCGAAGCACTTTGTTGCCCTGCCTACCAACACAACTGAAGTAAAAGAGTTTGCACTACTGTAGTGAAAAAGTTTGAAACTGACCCACAAAACATGGTTCAAGTTCTAGAATTGGGTAGGAGGGCACTACTCACTATGGACAGCCATCAGACTTTCCACTGCCCTGTATGAGGGGTCAACAACTTCAACCATCTGTTCTTGGGTGTTAATTGGATGGACAATCATTTCCATCCTGCTGGCTCTGGTAGATGTCTGGCACACTAACTATTTCATGTGTGAGACGTAAGCCATGTTGCCCTAAGACCAGTACATGTATCACGAAGCTGCCTACTTCCAGCAGGGTGACATGGATCCAATGGGAAGTCTATCACCAAGTATGGCACCTGCATAGACCACCAGATGGGTATCACTGTGTAGCAGGAGCCAGGGACAAATGGCAGCATGCCTTCTACCAGTTCATCTACCAAGGCACCAAGATGATACCCTGTGACAGCTCTGACCAACGGGGAGTGGAGTTAGGAAAGCAGCTGGCTAAGAAAACTGAGCCTGAGCTTCATGGCATTAGCCTAGTGACCTCTCACAATTCCTCTACTTATCATCTGATCAACTTCATCAAGCAGGCACGTGAGTTCAGAAGCCAACAAACTCATGCTCCACCACAGACTCTGCTGTAACTGGTCCTTCTTGTCCCTCCTCACTGAAGTCTGGACTGCATGGTCCTGCCCAGAGCACTGACTGTTGCTGGCTTAGACCACAACACTCTGCACCCCACCATGTTCACAAGCCCTTTGTTTTACAATTAACAGGAGTGTTTCAGTGCAACTGACCTGTATTCACATTGTTCCTACACCAGGTAGAAAAATATGCTGAGTGGTAGAAGACACACACACACAAATATTATATGATACCACTTACATAACATTATAGAACAAGCAAAACGAGTTATGGAAAAAAAAAGCAGAACAGTACTTGCCGTGGGGGTATGGGTTGGGACAGTCTGAGAAGAGGTACAGGAGCACTTTCTGGGTAATGGCAATGACTGTCATCTTGAAAGGGATCTAGGTTATACATGTGTGTACATTTGTCAAAATCCACTGAATGTGTACTTAAGAAATACTTAATTTAACTGTATTTAGATTTTACCTCAAGAAATAAAATCATAAAAAATACTAAACTCATAAATTATGCGTGACAATGTGCTTAAGTGAAATATACTATGGTCTATAAATTATTTTGAAATGCATCAGTAACAGGTGGGTTGGTGCAATGTAAGGAAGGGAAAAGTAATGGAGAGATATGAGATAGCACAAATATAGCTAGCAGGTGATTTTAAGAATATTCATTGTAAATTTATTTAGTGGTAAAGAGTACCAGGAAAAGTAATTACCCCAAATAAATAAACAAACAGATAGAGAGAGAGATGGATGTGTGGATGGATGGATGGAAACTCCCAATAAAATGAAACTCTACAAAGATGTCCTCAGTGGCTTGGAATTCTATTAAACATTTGAAGAAAGAATACTAATTCTACCCAAACTCTTACCAAGAAAATCTATTCTCTGAAAAATTCTTATGAGAAATCCTTACCAGATATGGTAAGGAAAACTACAAACCAACATCCCTCATGAAGGGAGATGCAAAAATTCTTCATGATATGTAACAATAAAGGACAATGCAGCTTGACAAATTAGGATTTATCCCAGAAATACATGATTGCTTTAACATCCAAAAAAATCAATAATTTACCATGTTAACAGCAGGAAAAAATTATACAACCATCTTAATAGATGGAAAAAATCATGACAAAATTCAACATTAATTTCTGATAAAAATTCTCAGGAATGAGAAATAGAAGGGAACTTTCTCAATTCCATAAAGGGCACATTATGCAAAACTGACTTCATATTTAATGATGAAGGATTACTTTTACCCTAGGATTAGGAACAAGGCAAAGATGCAAATTCTCATCACTTCTATTCAACATAGTACTAAATATCTGAGCATTAGAGCCAAGAAAGAAAAATGGAACAAAAAGCATACATATTAGAAAAGAAGAATATAAAACTATCTTTATCCTTATAGACTATTGGATTGACTATATAGAAAATACTATGAAATCTGCAGAAAAATCTATTAGAACTAATAAGTGAATTTAGCAAGGTTGCAGAAACCAACCTAATACATAAAAATAAGTATTCTTTAAACTAGCATGACCAGTTATAATTTGAACTTTTTAAAAAATATTACTTACAATAGCATCCAAAAAAATAGGAAATGCTTGGAATAAATCTGACAAAAGATACACAAGACTTATATAGTGAAGATCACATAACATTGCCAAGAGAAATTAAAGAAACTTACATAAATGGAGAGATATACTATGTTCTCAGAGTAGATGACTCAATATTAGTAAGATACTCTTACTAAATTGATCTAAATATTCATTGGAACTGCTCTCCTAATTTTAGTGAGGTTTTTAGTAGAAATGGAAATGCAAACAATAGCCAAACCAATTACGAAACAACAGGAACAAAGTTGAAATACCTGTCCTACCTGATTTCAAGACTTATTATGAAAGCTACAATAATCATGGCTGTTGTGATATTAGAATACAGACAAAAGGGATCAAATAAAATGAACAGAGTCCAGAAATGATACACACATATGGTCAATTTTTTTTAATAAAAGATATCAATAGGGAAAAGATAATTTATCTTAACTTATACTGGACCACAGACCTAAACTAAACATAGAATATAATCTTAGTGAACTTGGGTAAGGCAAACATTTCTTAACAGAACACAAACAGAAAACTACTAAAGAAAAAAAAAAATCAATCAACAAACAACTATGAACCAAAGACACACTATGGGGGGTGGGGGCGGGGAAAAGAGGGATTGGGGTCAAAATAAGGGGGTTGCAATTGTATGGGGAATATAAAAATAAAATTTAAAAAAAATGGAAAACAAAATCAATAAATTAATTTCATCAAAATTTGGAAGTACTGCCCTTCAAAAGATACTGCTACAAAAATGAAGAACAAACCAAAGACTGAGAGAAAATATCTGCAAAATATTTATCTGACAAAAGACATACACCTGGAATATAGAAAGAACTTTTAAAACTAAATAAGATAAACAATTTTTTCACCTGGACAAAAGATCTGACATTTCACTAAAGAAGATACGTGGATTGCAAATAAATGCATGAAAAGACGATGCAGAGAGTCATTTTATTAAGAAATATGCAAATTCATTCCACAGTAAATTTGAAAGAATGATCACAAGTTGCTGACAAATCATATAGAGTAACAACTCTCACAAACCACGGGTATAAAGTGACACAAACAACTATGGAAAGCAATTCCCAATTTTCACCAGGTTTAATTTCTTTAGAGAAATCATAATTATTCAAAACTTTAATATATAGGGCCTCCCTGGTGAGGCAAGGGGTTAAGACACAACCTATGAAGCTGTCTGCTGCCTTTGCAGCTCGAGTTCTAATCCCAGCCAGGGAGCTACTCACATGGAGCAGCAGAACTCTCCTGACTTGCCCACTGCTCCCCTCAGCAGTGTATTTCAGTCAGTCTGCCTGTTCTGTTCCCCGCTCTGTCTCTGGTGAATCCTCTCAACCCCCACACCCCTGGTCTGTACCCCGGTTATTGTATGCATAAATAAATAAATCTTTAAAAAAAATTTTATAAAACACTACCACTGATATTATAAATATTAATAGAAGGAAACAAATCTTCCTTATTTCTTTTAGCAATGTTTTGCAGTCTGCATTACAGTTTTAGAAAATGTAAAATATAATCCTATCTCACAAATTAGCTATTCTACTATTAGCTATGTACACACAAAAAAATAAAAATGTATGTCTATAAAGATTTTTACATATATTTTTATAAGCAATTTTATTCTTAAAAGCTAAAACCCAGAAGTATCTCAAGTGTTCACTATGGAGACTTTAAAATCTGTCCACAAAGATGGCATTCTTCCCTCAAAAGGCAATCTGCCTCTCCCATAGAGAATGTACTGGTCACTGTGACTTTACTTCTGACAAACAGTAACATGGAGGAAGTGATTGTGTGTACTTCTGAGGCTATATCATGAAAAGTATGCAGCTTTTGCTTTCCTTGCTCTTAGATCATTTCTTTGCTCCTTCTCTATTTCTTTTAACAATGTTTTGTGATTTTCTTTGTATAGCTTTTCAACTCCTTGGTTACTTTTATTTCCAGATATTTAAAATTTTTTTGGTAGAGTTGTAAATGGGATGTTTTTCTTTATTTCTTCCTCTTCAGACTTATTGTCTGCTTATAGAACGTCTATTTATTTTTGTGTGTTGATTTTATAAACTTGCTACTTTACTAAATTGGTTTTTGTTTTAATGAAACTATAAAATCTTCAGAAGGAAAAAAGTGTTAATCTTCGTGATCTGGAATTGGCAATGAATTCTTAGATATAATCCTCAAAGAAGCAAGAGTAATAGAAGAAAAAACTAGAATACATCAAAATTAAAACTTTTGGGCACCAAAGGACATTATTAGCATGGAAGAAACCATTATACATCCTATCTAATAAGGATTTAATATCCATGATGTATAATGAATTCAATAAAAAAAACTTAATGGGCAAAGAACTTGAATAAACAACAATAGACAATAGAAGAAAATAGACAAGTGGCTAATAAAGGCTCATGTAAAGATGGTGAATTGCATAGAGAAATGCACATCAAAACCACATGAGATACCACTTCACACTTACCAGATTAATTTAAAAAAATGAAAATTAGCAAGTGTTGACAGAATATGGAAAACTGTTAGGAATATAAAATGATACAGCTCCTATTGAAAAGTTTGCTAGTTTCTCAAAGACTCATCAAAATTCCCACATGACTCAACAATTCATATCTAGATATATACCCCAAAGAACTGAAAGCAGGAACTGAAACAAATACTTGTACATACTAATTTTGATAGTTATAATTTGAACTTTAATTAAAATAAATATTACCAACTAACTTCATCCTTAATATGCTCACAAAAGAATTTTATAAAAAATAAAATTAACTAAGAACCAAAAATTAGCAGATTTTATAAAAAAGTGTTAATAATACTCTTGTTATAGACAGCTACCGACAAGTTTTGAAGCACTGGATAATTCTATGACAGTTAAACTTTTTTAAAAGATATAAAAGTATATCTAGTTTATAAGCTTATATACTTTGAGTAAACTTTCACAAAATTTATAAAGGAATTTCCTGCCATTTCAAAAGTAGTATGTATTCCCCATTCTTGAAGGATAAATGCTCTCAAATCTTAAAAACACGGGTAAATAGCTCAAAGTAAAGGACTCTTTGATATTTGCAATTAATTAGCAAAGGCAAATATATTTGCAACAATCTTAAAAGAAACAGGTAAGTTTAGGAGGACTCTTCTTTATTCTTGCAAGCTAAATTTAGAATGATGACTTATACTTCTTTATTACTGTAATAACTGCTTAAAAACATACAAGGGCACAAATTAAACAAAAAAAAAATGTTACATTCACTACAGAATGGGAAAAAAATTTATATACTTCTTTCACACACACACACTTTATATCCACCGAATGAAAAAGCTGTTGACAAATCAAAAGTGATTAAATTCCAAATTTAAAAAATTTTATAAAATACTGCCACTCAAGAAAAATACTAAAATATTGACATGGTGATAGTAACACCTACTTACTGATACTTACTGTGTGAAAATTTATCATTTCTTGAAGACTGTCAGAAAACTTAGTCAAACTTGTCTATGAAAAAGAAACCAAAAGAAAACTAAGTCATTTTAAGAGTTGTTAAAATCAACCACAAATATGTTACTTTACCATTTCTGCATAAAGACCAAGTTAGAGTGTAAACAATAACATTTATTTCCAAAGGCAATCCCCACTAACCCATGGACATGCTCTAAAAGAGAATTTAAGACTACAAATACTAATTGAAACCCTAGAATAGTTTTTTTAAAAAGTGCTACCCTATTAATACTATTAAGCTAATAAATAAAATTGGCATTATAAACCTAAAGGCAAAATTAAGTGTTATCAACTCTGTGTCCACTTAGGTATCTATGGATCAAATAATCATTAAACCACACTCGTTCCAACAATTACTCTTTATGAAAGGAAGATCATAATACCACGCAGTATACCAAGAAGCCTAAGCTAACCCACCATAGCTAGCTAGCTTACCAAGACTTGAACCTGAAGGCCCCCATACATACAGTTAGATGCTAATTCTTAGGTTAATGCCCTCTCCAGTTACCTCCGTAAACTGCTACTAGAGCATGATCCTGCTCTCCCTGGTCAGAGCCCCTGGGAGATACTTCAGCTCCATGAGCAGCAATTAAACTTACACTGACAATGTAAATCAACCATCAATTTCTAACTATCCTAGAAAAGAGGATTATACAAAATAGCATCACTGCATACAATTTTTATTTATCATTTTATCTGTAAATAAATAAAATTTATGTAAATTTCACATAAATGTAAATAAATTTATCATTTTAACTGTAATTTTAATAATACTAACCTCAACTACAGCATCTTTACTAGAATACTGTGCCAGGTCTCGAATCCCATTCATGAACTGCTTATTTGCAACACAAAAAGCTTTTCCTGTATCAATCATCGCAATACAAAGCTTCACAAGCTGGAAAAGAAAAAAATTACAAGTTGAAAATAATTTTACAATTATTGAACAATTATTAGCAGTAACCAGGAGTTACCCTTATTAAGATAAATTAGGGTTCAACAATAAACCCAAAATAGACTAATTAAAAATTGTTTTTTTCCTTTAGTTTATAAGGTACCCAAAAAGTTAACCTTTCAGGACCTAGAGGGTGTCTGATAACAACAAAAAATAATTTAATTGAGTCAAATTCAAACCCTTAAATTGACTTCATAAAACTTTATTCAGCACCTCCTAAAAGGAAGAAAAGGAATTTTAGGCAGAAAAAGCAGTATGATAAAAGGTATTTTAACTTTTTAAAAAAATGTGGTATGTTGGAGTAAACTGGTATACGCGGTTGGTCATACTAGTATTTTATATCAGTCTAAAAAGGAATATCTGAATTGATTTATTACCCACATACATCAGTCTAAAAAGGAATATCTGAATTGATTTATTACCCATATATCTCCAAAGCCTATTGTTCTAGACATTGCACTTAATCTTAGGGCTGAACTTTTCTTTCAACTTTCTTGTTCACTTCTTTCTTCCTTCCTTTCTTTTCTTTCATTTAGATACATAATATTTTCTTTAAACAGACAAAATCTTGAGTGACTAGTCAAATATTACAAAGCAGATATATTTCTACAAAGCACAAACACAACTGTTATGAATAACAAAACCATGCATAAGAGAGTGAGTGAAGGCCATTTAATCCATGGTTGGGATGTGAAGCGTTCTGAGAAAAGCCCTGAAGAATCGAAGGAATTAATCAGTCAGATAAGAACTTCTGAGTTAGCACCTTTCTCAGTAAGTTTTTTCTCACTTTTAGATTATAAAAAAATTACCCCCTCTTTCTTTTAGTTTTCTAATTCAATTTATTATGTTTATATCTTCATTCCATCTGAAATAAATATACCCTAAAATATTATGCTAAGAAGAGTACACACTTAGCACACTAATCCCCAGAACCTTAGAGGGCATAGCAAACTGTAAGTCGTGAGTAGTTTAGTGCAGTGTGAAAATGTGGAGCATTCAAAGCTTGATGCTGAAAATGTATACAAGGATCAAATCAGAAAAAGCATATGTGCAATGCTAAAATTTTCACACTTTATATGCAAGCAAATAGGAAACAATTAGAGACATTAATTGGGTGAGTTAATCAGAGTTCCATTTTAGAATGATGACCTAAATGGAGAAAAAAGTAAAAAAAACAAGGACATAGAAAAAAATAAAGATAAAGAGATTAGACTAAAAACCACAAGACCCTGGATTAAGGCAGTATGTAGGGAGAGGGGAAACAATTCAAGAATTACAAGCAAGAATCCATGTGTAGTTATGCAGACTGTGTCCTACCAAGAGGAAAAGTTGGGTCTGAAATCCAGCCTTAGTACTGCTTTTTGAGAGTTACATCTGATATAAAATAGTAATTTGGGCAGTCACTAGACTGCCCAGACAGCACAGGCTCTTCAGCAAATAAAGTGTCAATGCTATAAAGTTATATCCTGGACAAAAAGCAGAGGGCAAAACCTGTAGAGTGAGTGTCCTGCCAAGGAGATTAATGAGAAACGCAAGAGAATAATTTCACTAAAGTCAAGAAAGAACGAAGAATCACCAGATATTTGATGACTAGACTGAGAATTCATAAAGGTGAAGTTTAAAAAAAAAAATTAAGTTTGGTGAAGTCATCAGCATCCCTGCAAGATTAGTTTTAAGCGAAAGTGACTAGGATTCTGCAACCATATTATAGTGAGTTATGAACTATAGATGAAGACATACTGATACATTAGTGGTTCCCAAAATATATTCTACAGAATATGCTATAGGAATATTCTGTACCAAAACAAGAATTCTGTGATCTAATAAATCTGGGGAACTCTGGGTTTAAAAAGTTAAACAGATTTCTTTATTGCTAAACTTTTAAAAGCTTTTAATATATTAGTGTATATTATGAATTCTAAGGAAAATGTATAATATGCAACATTTCTCAGAAATATGTGATTATAGAATTCACTTTAGAAGGAGTATTCTCATAAAAAACAATGCTTTACAAAACCCACTATGAGAAATGCTGGCAGAGACTAATCTTTAAACAGTTCTCTAGTTACAAAAATATAAGATCTAGAAAAAGATCAAAAAAATAAAAACTAGAAAAAGTAATTCTAAAATCCATGTAGTATAACCAACATGCAAGAAGAGGGGAAAAACTGAAAAAGAATAATGAAATGGAAACAGTAGCCCTGTATGTTATTAATATATATAGGTACAATAATTAAAAATCTGATAATAGATATGAAAGAACCAGGAAATAGAACAGAATCAAGAAACAGATGCAAATACCCACTACTTGTTGACAGTAACATTTCAGTGGGGGATATGTGGAAAGAAGGGCCATCTCAAAGGGAAAAAAGAAACAGTTTCCAAACCCTCAAATAAATTCCAGATGGAATGAAGATCTGAACACCAAAAATTAAATAAGAAAACATGAGATAATATTTCTTCTAATCTCAAAGTAGGAAAAAGCTTTCTGGAAAAAATGCAAAACTCAAAAACTATAGAAGAAATTGAAAAATTCAAAATTTTCAAAACAACAACAAATCACAAGTGACTAATTTCCCTGAGATAAGAACAAATCATCTCTGAAAAGCTAACCAGTCACTAGAAAAAAAAATGGCTAACACAAATGTACAGGAAATTGCCAAAAGAGGAAATTCAGATTCACTTTATATGCCCGTGGAAAATAATTCAGTATCAGTGCTAAAAGAAATGCAAATTGTTTTTTTACAGAACAGGAAAGACCAAAAAGTTTGATGATATGCTATTTTAGAGAGGGTACAGACACTATCACACATTGTTGGTGGGAGTGTAAATTGGTACAATTTCTATGAAAGGGCATTTAGCATGAGCTATCAAAATTTTAAACATACCCTCTAACCTAGCAATTTCACTTTCAAAAATGTACCATACAGATTTATTTGTATATAAGCCACACAACCATGAGAGGCCATTCTTGACCCAGCAGTAAAACACTGGCAGCAATCTAAATACCCATCAGTAAGCATCTGATGGATATAAACATACAATGAATGAGGCAGCTCATCATTAAACAGAAGCAACATGCAAGATATAATTTTTTTTTAAAAAGCAAAATGAAGAACAAAAGTTAATACTTTTGTTGAAATCGGGAGAGAAGAATACAAACAGATATAATCCTTTAAATACTTAAAAACTCCCTAGAAAGTCACCCAAGAAACTAGTTCAGTGCTCTCCTCTAGGAAAGAAATTAGAAGATGGCTAATTCTTCACTGCATATACATTTTTGTACTTTTGAATTTTGTAAGTGGCTATTACTTATTCAACAAATTAAAAATTCAAAAATAATCAAAGCTTCAATAAAAGCAGAAAAAGGTAATTGGCACTATAACATTATGGTTAAAATCACAGGGTTCTGGGTTCAGACATCTTAGCTGTAAATTCTGAGAAGTCCTGCAACTGTCCAGTCCTGCAGTGAACCAGAATGGTTCCATGACCAAGTCTCTGCAGGCATGCAAGCTGGTCCAGTGCAATGGTGTTTTATCATTCCAGGGAGACTGAGGACACTTTCATCACTCACCTAGTGGTGAGGCAGATCAAGACTGGTGCACCTTGCTGATCCATGCACTTGTATTATGTACAACCAGATCCTCAGAATTGAAGAACTGGGCAGCAAGGCTGTTTGCCAGCAGAAACTTCAGAAACCCTCTAGCCAGTAAGCTTTGGGCGTGTAAGACCCTAGTCCTCCACGCACTAGTGTTTACTCAGACCTCTGCTCCTGATATACTGGCAGCTTAAGGTCTCCAGTCCACCCTGTCAGGATCTCTGGTCATTTGCTGATCTCTCCTACCCATGCGATGTTCTCACAGCTTCCTCGGAGCTGCTGCAGAAGCCAAGTTTGACCACCTGACTCCTGCTGGAAACCTAGCTCTGTAATAACATGATTAGCCCAAATTGTTCTCATTTCACTTCCCATTAAGTGTCTGGAGCCATATGTTTTCATATTGAAATCACCAAGGTGTCCATAAGCAAGACCTCCATAGGTTTTGTGTGCAAAATAAAAAGATCTCAGTGACTCGGGGGGGGGGGGGGGGGAGACAAAGTACTGAGGAATGAGAGTTTAGAATTACACAGGAAAAGGGTTACTTTATCACTTAAAGGAAGGAAAAAACAAAAGAAGATAGGAGCAGATTCTGCTGTTTCTAATTAAAAGCTAGAAATAAAGAGCCAAGGTCATCTAATGAAGAACAAAGCGGTCAGTCTTGACAAAACAGTGAAGTACAAGGCCTCCTAAAAATAACAAGATTACCTCATTAAGTCTTGGAAAACGTGCTTTGTATCAAGAAGTACAGGAATGAACAGCTCTAGCCCCGCCAATCAGTTTCATCAACTAGTTGTGTAATTTCTGTAAGGTTTTATAGCCCAGATATAGGGCAAAAAATATATAGATGGCCAGACTTACATAATGAGAGTTCTATAGAACTGTCACAGAAATGAAATTAAGGTCTCCAGAAAAGAAAAAAATGACATAATTAAATTAAGAGTGAAAAGATTCATAGCAGTATTATTCATAATAGCCAAAGCAGAACATCCTTCAATCAATAAATGGACAAATAAAATTTGGTATGGCCATTAAATGACCTATTATTCATCCATTAAAAGGAAATACTAGAACATCTTACAACATGGATGAATCTTAATAATATTACGCTAAGTGAAAGTAGCTGAAGACCAAATATTGCATGACTCCATTTATATAAAATATCCAGAATAAGCAAATCCACAGAAACAGAAAGTAAACTAATGGTTACCAGAAGATGCAGGGGAAAAGAAAGACTACTAACAGGTACCATGGTTCTTTTGTCATAATGGAAATGTTCTGGAATTAAAGAGAGGTGAGAGCTGGAGAATCCTATGAATAAAACAAAACCACTGAATTGAGAGTGGGTAATATTGAGAGTGGGTAAAATAAAATTGTGTTAGGTAAATTTTATATCAATTTAAAAATTACCAAAATGGAGGCCTCCCTGGTAGCAGCCACTGCAGCACAAGTTCAATCCCCAGTCAGCCAAGGAGCAACCCACATGGCACAGCAGACCTCTCCTACCTCGCCCGCTGCTCCCCTCAGCAGTGTATTTCAGTCGATCTGCCTGCTCTGCTCCCCACTCTCTCTGGTGAATCCTCTCACCTCCCGCTCCTCTAGCTTACACCCCAGTTCTTATATGCATAAATAAATCTTAAAATGAATGAATAAATATAAATTACCAAAAAGAAAAATACACTGAGAGGCAAATGAATTAAAAAGGGATTTGAAATATCAGAAATGGATAGACTGAAAGACTAGCTCTAGATACACTTGAAGAATAGAAGCTGTAGGAGTGAAGACGAAAACTGGAAGGATTAGAGACTTAAGTCGGAAAGTAAGATACCAACATTCCAGATTTCAGAGATTAAACTTTCAGTGGTGAGGCATAGAATTTTGGCTATGAAAACGCATATCAGAGTGAGAATAGAGGTTACTACTCCACAAGTCAGAAAATGAAAGTGTCATAAAACTAAACCACATTTAGACTGCAGCTATCCAGAAGAAAGGACTGGCTTGGTAATGGATACTGTGTTACTTGTATTAGATGACCTTGATGACTAATTATCAGTGACAGATGACACTGATAACTGATTAACATAAGTCTACAGAGAGGGAAGATTTTTACCTAAGACTAAGAGTAAATAAATGTCAAATTAGTCAAAATTTATCAAGGTAGTAGCTCCAATTCATTCAACAGTTTAAGGCATTCTGCCAGAAGAATGGGCTACAAAGTACTTGTTGACTGTCCTTGAGAAACATTCTCTCTTTCATTTATTCATGTGCAAACTGGGTATAATACCAATTCTGCAATATTGCTTTGAAGATTGGAGATAATGTAAGTAAAACACAGGATCTGGTACACAGTAAGCACACAACAAATGAGGGTGGTTTTTTTTCTCTTTAAAGACAGTCTCTATTTTCAAGGAGCTAAAAGTCCGTTGCAGACATATCATTATTAACATTACTTTAGAACTTAAGCACTGAAATGTGTTAACACAGCCTACTCTAATAACCATATAAGGTAGATACTCATTTTCCACATTTTGGAGATGCAGAAACTGAGGCATAGGAAAGTCGAGGTACTTGCCCAAGGCCATACACGCTTAGGAAGCAGTAAAACCAGATTTAAATGCAGTCAACCTTACTCTCAATTGTGTACTCTTTACTAAAAGGCTATGCTACAAACCAAAAATTACCGTAATTTTATAACAATTTATGGAAGTACAGGCAAGAAACAATGCAATACAAGAAAAAGAACCTAAGTCTGATAGTACTGGAGCTATTTTAAAGAACATTTGCTTAACAAATAGGGAATAAGCACTCAAGTCAAAGATGCAACAGATTCAGAAATTCTATCTAGATGGAGACTATGATGCTGCCAATGACAGAATAAACAATATTTTATCATAAAGAAATGCCACTGATAAAGTATTATCCACCAGAAAGAATGTAACTACTAGTGGCATGTATTATAAGCAAAACAAATACAAGCAAAGTCATCAAGCGGGTTTAACTTGTTGCTGGCATGATTTAGCAGACCCTGAACAAAGTTATGAAATCACAAACTAGTCTTAGGCAACTCCTCCGGCTCTACTAGTCCTGCAGTGCCACCACCTTCAATAATAACCATTTCTTGCTCCTCATAGGCTCTCTTCTCTAAGCTAATGCCCCATAATTCTATCAGAAATGGATAGACTGAAAGACTCTTCCTACCTACCTCGCAGGATTGTTACAAAACTTTTAAAAAGGTACTGTATTAAAAAAAAAAAAAATACTACTTTGAATTCTATTATGGGGCATTAGTAGAGTCCATCTGTCTAAATACTTCAAATTTTGAGGTCTTCCCACATTCAAGGTGTTTTATGATTTAGATACAGATCTAGCCAAAGAAAATAAATATCCTTATTTTACTACTGATTCTTTAGAAAACTTTGTCCTTCCATACTGCAGGAATGGCCATGGTGCAGGTTTTCTATGATCCAGCAGACCGGGTAAAGGAGGAGTCAGAGCCATCAGTGGCTTTTTGCAGGCTTTTATTGAGGTTTACCAGGTACACAGCAGGCAGGGGTACTGGGGGGCCGGAAGGCTGGCAGGCCTCCCAGCCCCCAGCAAGTCTTCACTCTATCTGGGCTCTCCGGCGTTCTCTCTCTTGGCTTCTGCTTCTCTTGCTTCTCTATGCTTCTGCTGGCGTCCCCGTGACACCGCCCTTAAAAACCCTGTCTTAGCCCAGGTGAATCCCATCTACCTATGCCCACACCCTATTCCAGGTGCCCGCCATCAGGCATGCATTCAGGACCGCAAGGATCCATCATCTATTTTGATGGTGGGAGGGCAGAAAAAGCCTGACATTTTTCCTTATCCTACACATATATTCTTATAAATCTACCAGAAAATCAAAGCCACACCATCTGTTGCCTAGTTCAAGGGTTTAAAAACTGTTTCAAAAAGTGCTTAAAAATAGATGTAATACCACAAGGGAGAATAATAATATAATTTTATATAGAAAATAAAATATTTAAAAATAATACTCTTGAAAATAATATACTTGCCAAAAATTATAACATTAATTTTTTTTTTCTTTTTTTTTTTTTTTTTTTATAGAGGCATGTTTTTATTTATTTATTTGTTTGTTTTGTTTATACATGCACTGGGTACAGTCAGAAGCACGGGAGGGTGAGAGAATTCACCAGAGCCAGAGCGGGGAGCAGAACAGGCAGAAGGACCGAAGTACACTGCTGAGGGGAGCAGCGGGCGGCAGGAGAGGTCTGCGCGCCATGTGGGACCCTCCTCCGGTGGGCGGGGAGCAGCCGGGGATCGAACCGGCACCATAGAGGCCGCAGGCAGCTTCGCAACCCAGCGCTCAACCGCTGCGCCACCGGGGAGGCCCTATAACATTAATTTTTAAAACCACTTGCCTGGAAGCTTGTGGGGGCTTCCTGAGAAATTTCCAAGTGGCATGTGCTCTCCCACCATGGATCCAAAAGTACATTGGTTCCCAAGAAGAACAATGAATTAAGATCAAACATATGGGTTCTAACCCTGTTTTTTATCAATTCTTATTCCATCATTTGAAGCAAATCCCATTCATTTTCTGAGAACTGGTATCCTCAGCTATGAAATGGAGATAACACCACTCTTCCTACCTACCTCACAGGATTGTGACAAAACTTTTAAAAAGGTACTGTATTAAAAATATATATATACTGCTTTGAAAACTATAGAGTACTATACAAAAATAATGTAGTAATAACATTTTCTAAAATTTTTATTTGCTTTACACATGTAACTAATATAAATGTAACTATATAGTTTACATACAGCTTATATTATGTACATATACTTCATGATTTCAAACCATTTGAAAATCTTCAGCCTAATTAATACATTTTCGATACTTTCTACTCAAAGTGTGGCCCATGAAACACTAGCATTGGTATCAAGTGGAATCTGACAAGAAAGACAAAAAGAATCTCAGATACCCCAGACTTACTGAATCAGGATCTAAATTTTCACAAGATCAGATCCCCAGGTAATTCCAATGCAAGGTAAGGTTTGAGAAGCACTACTTACTTAGCATAGTAATACTATTTACAATTATATTTTATAAGGAGGATGTAAATATAAATAAATGTAAAATTTTCAGAAATAGAATTTCAAATAGCTGCATCTGAAATTGAGAAAATTTTAAGACATTTTAAGAGAAATGGTTACTTGAGATCGGAAGCTATGTCTTATTCCTGTGTTTCTGCTTATTATAGAGCAGACAATGATTCTTGGATAGAGACAAAAAAATTATCAATAATTAATATAGAAAACAGGAATCAATGTACATTTACCCTTCCATAAATTATGACCACTTAATATCAATTATTAAACATATATTAAGCATTTAGGTTAAAATATTTAAATATATATTAGGCATTAGGTTAAAAAAACAAGATGAGTATTTTAAATTTTATTTGTTCTTGAATACGGCCACACCCTAATTTATAAACAAGAACAGTGAAGTTCTGTATGAAATCTATTACATGTCCAGTAAGATACAGTATTTTTGCTGGACAAAGAAACAAACTTTTAACAACAAAAAGGATTTATACTGAGATTTAATAGATTCAAACTCTTGCTCTGGCATAGCTTTTCAACAAGCTACTTAATGTTTCCTCATGTGTAAGACTGGAACAATAATAATATATACCCTTATAGAGATAAAAAAAGTAACATAAACCATTATATATGAAAAATGAGAATTAATGTTTTAAAAGTTAAATTTACCTTATCAAGCTTTAGTTCCAATTCTGCCACATCTCCTTCTACTTCTTCCAAAGCAGCCCTAAAAAAAATTTCAATAAAATTATTTTGTGCATTTAAATGTATATACTTTAATACATCTTGAAAAATAAATAAAAGATATGAATGCTTTAAAAATTACATTTCATATAAAGTAATGATTACCTTAGGATAAAGTATGAACATTTCATACTTCATACAACCATGCAATACAACAGGTAAAACAATTATTGTTTAAGGTAGTTAGAGCATATATTAAGCTGATATACTCAAAGCTTTCAGAGCAGTCAAATTGATGAACTATTTAACATGTGTCTTTTATTAAAGAGTAAGAAATTTCAAAAGTTGAGCCTCACAAGGATTCAGATTTCTGTTTAACAAAGCACATGGAACTAAACAGAAAAGCATCCTTAGCAACCAAAAAGAAAAGCTTTTACATTTAGAAATAACTCAGAAGTAAACCCTTGTTTAATGCACCACTTTGTTTCCAATGTAATTGTAAGAAATCAGCAGTTACTCTCACTGACAAAGGGAAATGCTAAAATTACAATGCTAATTAATTAGCACTTGAAACCTTACAAAATCGGAACTCTGTCTAGAATAAGACAGTAACAAAACTTTTAAAGGATAAGACTTTACATTAAAGAGTAATGTATAACAAAATGCATTCATCTACTTTAAGTCACCTATGCTACTTAATACCTATTTGATACATAATTAGTAAACACACAGAATGACTCACTTAACCCTAAATGACCTCTAAATAATCATTTTTATCAGTTCATGATTCCACTTCTCCATCTGGTAACATCTATTGAAAAACGTTTCTGATCTCCAGAATAAGAAAATTACGTAACTATGAAACATTCAGTAAAGCAATGTCTATTACATAAAATGAAATATGCTAGCATTCAGTTAAAGGAAATAGGTGTAAGCATATGGCAAATCAATAAAAATCTGATTTAAAAAAACAAAACAGGAGGTGCTAAACTTCCACAGTGTAGAAACAGAAATGCTTCTCCTCTAACCAAAAGTTTGTCATTTTCTTCAGCTGTTTTTCAGAATATATTGTTCTCTTAGCCTAAAAAACACTTTGCCTTCAAATTAATCCTCACTTCCTTCATCTGCCTACTGCTACTCAACTGTTAAGACTTAAATCACAAAAGAAAACAAAGATGTGCGTATAAGGATGTGCGTATAAGGATATCAACTGTTTGCAATAAGAAACCTGTAAGGTGGAGCAATAGGAAACAAATTAATGGTGTATCAATCCCATTAGTTGTGGCATCAAGTCTTTACATGAAATTGATCTATATTTACGCAACAACACACGATAGACTACTACATGGAGAGTGGGGGGAAACCAAGTTACAAATACATAGTATTACAACAGGAGACCCTTCACTACTTTCAGACAATGCAAGTGGCAGCACCCACCACCAGAGGCCCCAATGGAGCTCAGGGAGCTGGCAGAGGCCAGCAGTGATGGCAGACAGCTTTGGTTCCCCTACCATGTTACCCCAGGGCATGGGACCCTAAGCCGACAGCTTCAAATACAGTGCTACCTCCAGCTGCAGGCAGGAGAGAGGCTGTGGATTTGGATCATGGAATGGACTAGTCAGGTGCGAGCTGTGAGCTGACTGGTAGATGTTCCAATCAGACTGGTCTGTGGGGGAACTCTTAAAAGAGTTTATAAAGCAGGGCAGGAGCCAACTCAGACACCAGCTTAGTGGGTGTAGGGTATGGTAAAAGTATCAGGCTTTTCTGCACTCCCGCAATTAGGATAAATGACGGAACCCTGCGGTCCTGAATGCAAGCCTGATGGCAGGCACCTGGAATAGGGTATGGGCATATGTAGACAGGATTCACCTGGGCTAAGACTGGGCTTTTTAAGGGCGGCGTTATAGGGTAGAAGCAGAATGAGAGCAGAGAAGCAGAGACCACCAGAGAATACCGGAGAACCCAGAAAGAGTGATGACATGCTGGCTGGCCTGCCAGCCTCCCAGCCCCCCAGCACCCCTGCCTGCTGTGTACCTGATAAATCCCAATAAAAGCCTGCAAAAGCCACTGAGGACTTCGAGGACTCTCTCTTCCTTTACCCGGTCTGCTGGATTAGAAATCCTGCCCTATGCCCCTTCCTGCCCCCTACAGGGAGCCTGCACTGCTGTACTCTTGGGCTCTCGGAGTCTTGTTTGAAGCTCCCTTGGACTGGACTTGCTCCAACTCTGGAACTCTGAGGTGAAAGTTGAATTGAAGGACCTCCAAGATAAACTTTCAGAATCTTTGAACACATGATTACAAAGGGCTCTATTTTAAATGATAATTAACAACATAATAAATGCACTACTTTCTCCTTTCTCTTACCACTGCTTACTGAGTTTTGCCACCTATTATTTCTATTCATTAATGCATGTAAATCAATCTAGAACATATTTAATAAGTGAATGAATGAGTAAAATAAAACAACAGTCTTTCAAATATTGGAGAGCACTGTTATTCCTTTCCAAATCCCTTTTGAGCATAAATTTTATAAATATACAAGATTGTTAAAATAGCCAGTATTTTAAATCCTAACCCTCCATAGCTTAAACTTTAACAGTAGGCAATTATAAAACCTTTTAAATATTAAAATTTAAGTTACATGAGAAAACAAGTAGCAAAATATAAAATTTTTTTTAAATGGGGAAAAAAGATATCAGTCAGCAAATCTCACAGCAAACTACAGCCTCCAGTCAAGCTCAGCCAGAACCTACTTCTGAACAGTGAACTAAAAATGGTTTTTACATGTTTAATGGTTAAAATTTCTTTAAAAGTACGATGTATGAAAATATGTTAAATTCAAATTTCAGTGTCCATAAATGAAGTTTTATGGAAATAGCTCATTTGTTTACATATTGCCTAGAGCAGCTTTCATGCTATATTAATAGCAGAGCTGAGTAGTTGAGACCATATGGCCCAAAAGTATAAAATATTTACTACTATTTGCCCCTTTACATCAAGTTTGTTGTCTCCTTATTGTGAATATCAAATATAATAACATTGAAAAAATATATAAGAACATGAGTGAAAATTCTTTCTCATATATGAAATATATACAAGAAAATAATTTTTAGAATTTAGTCCTCAATGACTAGACCTTAAGAAACTCAAGCCTGAAATTCAGAAAAAGTCTATTTTTATTAATAATAGCTTCATCCTTTTATCTATTCCTATGCCAGTTTTTTATGATCAACCAGGAAATAGTTAACTAAAAACAAAACTAGAATAGGAAAAAAATCTAGCAGCAAATATTAACACTGAGACATTTTTAATCACAGTGATCACTTTTGGCCATGAATTAAATGAAGCTCTATGAGAAGCACAAAAATAGAACTCTCTCCACCCAGATAATTGCACACCCCAGTAGAGAAATAAACTTTTAAACTAGTGCTTTTACAAGATTATCCATTAAAATAACTAAATAGTATGTATAAAATGAGCATTACATTTTCTTCACATAAGAAAATGATTTGAAAGAAACAAAGTACGATAAAGAATTATTTTAGCCATCTCTTTGAGATCTGGAGGAAAACAACAACAACAACAACAACTGCTTCTAACCTGACAATATCCTTAAAATAGAATTAATAATCTAGGACTCAGTCACATGGTGATATAATCTAAAATGTAAAAATAGGACAGTCAAGATCACTAATAAGACATATCTATCTTCAAACAAAGATGACTTGAAGATGGAAGTCATAACTACCCTCTTAAGAATTATCAGATACTCATACTACAAACAACAGATTTTAAAGCATTTAAATTCCTTGTTTTATATTATATAACAGATATTTTCCTAACAGTTACTATAAATTGAATAACCATTGAGATACTCTGAAGAATTGCCCATATGTCCAATATAAATGTCCATGGTTGTCAAATAAGTAATCAGGAGAAAAAATTATTACAATAAATTAAAAACAAATTAACAGGCAACTATAAATTAGAGACATTCTGCAGGGGAGGGGAAGGGAGAGGGATCAAAACAGGGGAGGGAAGAACACAAGGGACTATGGTGATGCTGCACGGGTGAATTGGTGGAGGGAGTTTTACAGGGACAACACCTGAGAGGAGAAAGCATACATTCTACAAAAAGGAAGAATGAGGTAAAATATATTTTAAATAAATGTCCATGGTTGTGATCCCCAACTAACTTTCTCTTTCAGCTCCACAGCCTTCTCCACCATGGGCAACAACACTATGCGATTCTTTACAAAAGAAGAACAATGACTGGGTCAGGGATAGCCCACTAATCCAAAGGAAGCCCTAGAACTCAACAGATGGCAAAACCAGGTGGCAAAAACTCCCATTACAGGAGATGTTAAAAGAAAGGAGGGGGGGGGGGAACTCTTGGTTTTTGAATAAAGAACATAAAGAGTACACACACTGGAAAACTATTCTTTAAAAATTCACTCCTTAAATGATATTGCAATGTGAATAAGTACCCCTTTATTCAGTGAGTTCTGAGTATATTGGGTCTCTGTAACAATGTTACGTGGACAGGCAAAAGAATGGAGTTTTTATAAGCTACTACTTGTGTTTTAGTCCGTATTTACTGTTACTTGCTGTGTGACATCAAACAAGTTCTTTGTTTTTCATCTGTAAAATACAGGTAATAACAATCTCTCCCAAACATGTTATGAACAATTAAATTTTAAAATATATATAAAACCTTAGCACAGTTCCTGACAGTAGAGAATGTCAACTATAGTCAGTGTTAAATACACAACCTCATTTTCATTTTATGGGACAAAAAGGGGGGAAAGCAGTGATAAGATTAAGTTATCTTATACTTCCAGCAAGAATTTGAAATGGCTTGACTAAGGAACCAAAAAAGTTACAAGAGGTCTATACAGTCCAAATTCCTTTAAAACACTTCAACACTCTTATATGTCAAAAATACACATTGAAATCTTCTCCTAACTTCATAACTTCAGTCTACCCATAAGACTACATAATGTGACAAAATATTAGTTGAAAATCCACTTGGTTTTCCAGTAT